GTTAAAATGTCTGCACAAACTTCAGTACATCTTCAAGTTGTGAACCATTTGAACGCTTCAATGCTTTGAAAATATTCTATGTAAAGTGACATATGAAGAATGTTGAAGATATAAAGAATTCTCACTCGAATTCACTTACCGTTATCGGCACGAGCAACGGTGAGAAGAGCGATTGAAGCGAACAGAATGACTTTGTTCATCTCGTAAATGTGTCCGCAGTATAATGAATTTCACATTCACACTCATCTTATATAAACATTTTCTTCTACCCAACACCCATCCTCTGTTCGAAAATTCCAATCAAAAACCTCTTTTTCTCTTTCATTTCTCGCTCCTATAGTGCTGTCAATCGAGTATTTTTCTTTATAATAAGCCTATTTCATCGGAGCTATGACAGAGAATTTTCAGAGCTAAGCAGAATCATATTAACAAACCCGAGTAATATCAAAATTTATGCAGCACAAACAATTTCACGTCACCAAGTTGATGTATGATGTAATCGTTCGTCATCATATCTGATCTGTTTACACTTCAAGGGAAACAGAAAATCTCGCTCGAGTAGATCTTTATTGCTGTCAACTCCGTACAGTAAAAATGAATTTAGTCAGCGTGCGGTGGAATACACAGTGGAACTTGATATAATATTTATTCAGTTCGCAATGATAATCTGATGATAACAGTAATTGGCCACTTGGCATATAATGTCCTCACAATATTGAATCCAGTATGGTTAACGGCAATGATGATTCACAATACTTCGTAATAACGATGAATATCACAGTATCACAATAACAGTTGATTTCTTCTTCCAACTATAACTTCACTTGAAGATGTGCAGCATACGTTCTCCAATATGAATATGAATCCCGACCAGCGACTTACGACCCCGATCCTTCGTTCCTTTCTCCTTAAGTACTTGCATCTCTCATCTGTCCCGGAATTCATCGGCCATAGTTTCCCATAACATTTTGTTATCGCTCAGCCATCGCTCCTGGGAATCTTTCGCCTGTAAGATCTGAATTGAAGATATTAACTACTTTGTTTGGGTTATCTTCCAAATTCTTGAGATTTAGATTTTATGTTTTGAGAGTGAGGTGCTCGACTTGGTTACAGTACGTCATATTTCATACTCCTGAATCTGCGCTATAAAAGGATCTATAAATTGCCCGGATTTATTCCTGTTCAATGGATAGGAAATTCACATTTCTGAATATCTATCACATGTAAATATGAGTTCCACCACTTGGCGAACTGTATAATAAGGTTACCCACGCTTGGGTGCTCCATTACCCCCTTCGATAATCTGGCAGGCCGTCATTAACTCCCCCTCCCCCTGCTATAATAATACTATTTCTGCGCATAACGCCAAAACTAATTTCCCAGCCGATCCCCAGACACTCCCGAAATACCCAAAAATGGGCAATTTCTCCCCGTGTATAGGGTAATTTCTCCCCTAATATATATTATTTGAGATACTGATTAACTATCTACTGTTGTTTCGTCGATTTCAGCACTTCAAGAACTTAACATCAATGCATGGCGAATCGCCCCCCTGAAACTCATATGAAGTTTTCTCCGCCTTTTTTAACAATCGAATCGTCCGTCGCGTTGTAAATCGCCCAAACTTTTTTCATCGTTAATTTAATCTTTTAATTAGATTTGGTCATGGTATTTTTCAGTATGAAACGGTATTTATTGAAGGTTTACAGTTACGTCCTTTACGTTTGGTTCATTTTATTTCTGATTGTTAATGTCTTTCAGGTGTAAATTTTGCTCACGATGTCCACATCTGTGTCGAATGTTCAATTTGTACAAATTGATAGCTTGGTTTGTTTATCCGTTTATTATTCCAGAGATGTCATTCATTTTCAGTTTATTTTACTACAATCATTGTCACCATTACCGCTATTGCTGTTATCTTTATCATTTGCTTGAGTGTATGAAAATTTGAAACTGATATTAATTTTTATGTGGTAATGAAAATCGTCAAGCATGTCGATTCGGAGTTATACGCTGGAATGAACGAAGTGGCTGGAGAAACTTGTCAAGGACTCTTAACAGGTGAGAGGTGTTGTCTGTTTACTGGACCATACCATTTGAACATTTCTAAAAATTCATTTGTTGGTGATGGTCGATGATTTTATGATTAATTTCTTATGGAATACGGCGTGAAAGATATTGTAAAGTAAGGAAGATGAAGTGTCGAAGTGAATCTTTAGGATTGATATCAGTGGAGGATCATCGACTTGAGATAACGAACAGTTTTCCAACGGCACGCGCTGAACCAGCCCTCGATGGTGATGAAAATGCGCCAGCGAATTATCAGTTTGAAGAACAAAAGCAAGCTGAAATGCTTGATATGTTACGCAAGTTCAGGTACCATTTGCTTCACTATGTTCTGATAGAAATTTCCATCGTTCATGTTGAAATTCTTTACTCTTCAGCTAAATGTTATCATAGCATAGTTAAGTTGGTCATGTTGTTCAGGTTAACATTGTTGTAGGTGTAGTTGATCATAAACTTTGATCGCATTTTAGTTACGTTCTAGTATCATGATTGATTGGATTCCAACTTAAAACTCTTGTTCATTCCTATTGAAAATTGTTTTTCGTGCAAGGAACATAATATTGTAACATGACACAGCAGTTTTTTGGTTTATAATAAATTGCTATGTCAATGCGACTCTATGATAGTGCTGACCTGAAAAGCAGTTTCATCTGTAGAGGCGAACGTTATGGAATCTAAGCAGCGCACTGATATGCCACGTATATGATCACTTTATGTCAGTATGATATGGTGTTTTGAGCACCATTTTCGTGTTCGAAACGTCAACGAATAAATGCAATTCAGGAATATGAATATTGACTATGAATTGGTTGGTTTCTATCAAGCACATGCATTTGGTGCGTGCTTCTCGCAGGAATTAGTCGATTCTTTAGTTGACTATCAGTCGAGTGTTCAAGACGGTGTGGTGCTTATCTATGGTTTGTTTTGCATTTCTCATAAACGATTCACTTCACTTATGTTTCACCTCTGTTTATGGCCACTGTGATTATGCAACAATATATTTGACCAAGTTTTAGATGCCGTCAAAACCCGTCAAGGGCAACTGAGTATACGTGCTTTTCGACTCTCAACAAAAGCCTACGAAATGTCTTTGGATAACGAATGGACACCAGAAAGGTAGATAAATATGCCATCTAAGGATGAGTACAATCAAAATCAAAAGCATAAATATGGATAACAAATGCATTCGTTTATTGACAGGTGTGCGTATGGATGTGAATATAAGTGTATTAATTTCAGTGTTAAACAGTCAGGTTTATCATTTGAAAATATGTTCGATGAACTGCCGGTAGTGATAAAGAATAGTCACTTGGTGAACGTTATGCTGGCCGAATTATCGCTATCACCCAAACAAACTTCATTGGTTTCATCAGCGCATTTGGAGTTGGGAACGAGAAGGTTTTTGCTTATTTTGATTTGGAACGAACGATTGAGCGGTTAACGCTCTTCTTAAAACATTGTGGATTGAAGCGTTGCAGAGTGTCACCTGGTTGATACCGCTTCATGATCGCAACTTTTCGAGTTTGCATTCAACTCACTGCTGGATGTGCCAGGCTGTATTTAAGTTATCCCTCGGTCCGGCCTCAGTGACATAGTGAATAATATTTTCAAAGAAGAATGTTTGATATTGACGAAAAATTTTCAGATCGTTAGAGAAATGTTTGCGTACGTTGATGGTGAACATCGATGACTTGAATAAAACGATAATGGCGTATAATAAATATGTGGCTGATAAGCAACGACACGATATGAACGTCTATAATGCAACGCAGAAAAGAGTTTGTTTTAATAGCATTTGTTGTCGTATATTAGTGAATGGTTGATTTTATTTCAATGTATTAATGTTTGGTATTTGTGAATACGTGAAATAGTGGATTGCTTAAGTGGGGTGAAAGTAATAACAATAGCAGAAGACATAGAAATTGATTGCAGCAAGCAGAAAATGAGCAGAGGGAAGCACGAGGTGAGCCCTTGCTATCGTACGATGATATCAAGAAGATGAAACCCCCACAGTTGGCGACTAAATGTGGCATGTTGGAGAGCTTCTTGTGTTGTTCGGATGCTGCTGCACATGCCGATTTCGCTTATGAGGTTTGTTTTTTTATCATTTATATTATTATTATTATTATTGTTATTGTCATTATTTTTATGTTGTCATTATCATTTCAAAGGAACAATCATTGATGTAATTATTGTTATGGTTATTATAATCGTGGAATTTGTACTGTAAAAAATAATAGAGCTATTTCTGATTGTTTGTCTCTGCTGTTGAATGATTGCATCCTTTGAATGGTATCATTTTCAAGTTGTTTTTTTCGTGCACATTTATATTGGACTGGTTGTGCCAGTGTCCTTTTTTGTTAATGTTTCGATCGGTTTGCGTCGAAAGCATCAATATTCGTTGTGTAAACGTGTATTCACTGATCTTTCAACTTAATATCATTACTTGTTTATTTTTATTATTCATTTGTTAGGTTGAATATAGAATTTATTTCGTTTTATTAATGGTGATGTTATCGTTTTTTATCTTGTTTAGTGTCACTCCACTCGGTTATATTTGAGTAATCATTTATGTATGGATGCAGTCATGAATTACCTGGATTGGCCAGGCTATCAAACGTTTATAACGTTGCTGACCACAATGCTCGCGTTTCCGCGCATATTATTCTAGCCGCAATTTACGCCACCCCGCTGGCTAGGCGAGCAGGCCAACCGAACACAACCGAGTAATTGATTAGTTGCAGCGAATACTTTGCATAATTAATCGAGTAGCCAAATATCAATCCAATAAATAATCATAACTCTAATAAAATTAATATTCCGCCGCTCGCTCAAAACGATTGGCAAATCGACCATTCGATGTCCAAGTAACAATAAAAGTATGCAGTCATGAATATAACTTTGAATATGGCTTCATGTGTGCATATATTCCAGGTGACTGGTGAAAATATCGCAAAATTATTTTTGGCCGAAGCGGTTGGCGACGTGCGAAATGTAGTGGATAGACATTCGAACTGAATCGTTGAGCTGGACTGAACTGATCATTAAAATCAATCTTATTCTTGATATGAAATGAATCGAATTATTTTAGTTGTTGACTGGATTGAGTTTAAAGTCGAGTTGATTTATTAATTGGTTGATTCGAATGACTGTCAAAACAAATATCCGATAAAACGTGATCATTGTTTGCTTGGATTTAGTATTATACATCTTTCTTACACCGTTTTTTTCTGTTGAATTTAAGATCGGGTACGCGTTTATTCAAGGCAAATTTGCTGATCCTCAGCAAATATTCCAAGCTGTTCCAATCTTAGTATCGAAGCTTATCGTGGATTGGAGGGGAGAGGGAGGAGTTGAGAAAGTTATGGGAGTGTTCTGATGATAATGAATGTCGGAGGAAAGAATAAACTGGTTTGTGTTAGAGCATATAAATAAGATTTATTGAAATTCGTTTTGACATCAGCAGCAGCGGTAATATAATAAGGTGTAATTTATGACAGAAGCAAATAAAATGATGAGAATGCAGCGGATCAACAGATGTTCGTTTGGTGATTCAGTTAGAAACAAAAACGTACATCAATCACCAAATGATTTTTAAACAGAACTTGTTGATAATCAAATCGAGATGATTGAATATTATCATTGAATTGTTTTTGTTGTGGTCTCTTCAACGCTGAAAATGAGTGAGGAGAGCGATCATTATTGAATAATGCGATATTATAACACTTCTGTTTCACGATTATATTCGTCAGTTGCGTGTATGTCATCTGTCGATACTTTGCTTGTTATTTGAAATGTATTGCGTTAATAGTAATGATTTTAATGCAGTGACTGCAAAATTTTTATTGTTTCGTTCGTTTTTTGGTGGTCTATTTTGGGAGCGATTCGTTCAATTCATTCGTTGGTCAGTTTCTCATTTGAGGGCAGTGCTCTTGTTGTTATTCTTTGCTGTAATTCTTTGCGAGTCTTGTTTTTTAAGTATTGTCAGCCGTTTTTCAGTTATGATTTGTTAAGTGGCTGATTTTTATTTTACATTATCTAATAATAATAATAATAATAGTTATCACCTATTAAGATTATTATTGTTATCACTATTATTTGGATCATTATTGATTACTAGTGCTATCATTCTAACTACCATCGCCATTATCAGTACTAATTTGTTATGAAAATTTCTTATAAGTCAGCTTACATATGCAGAACACCGACACATTTTGATACTGTCCCAAATTTCAGCGAACGTTGGAGTTTAGACCTAGGCTGAGCCCCCACCTACCTCGAATTGGCTTTTGTTTTTGGCTTGAACTGCTCATAGAACACGAAAACTTTGCCCACATATGAAATTTGAATCGTTTCGCTTGAAATTAACTGTTTCGCGAGTTGTCTACCTTTTGTTTCAAGAGTAAACTTGTTGCTTAAAATACATCAAAGTGAATTGATGAAAGCCGATATCATATATTGTGTTCACTTTTGATGAACAATATAAGAAGCAAAAAGTCAGCAACGAACGCCTTTATTCTATCATGTCATTCATTTATTTCGTTTTTATTTTATTCCGTCACTTGCTGTTCAAATTTAATTAATTTTTGAGAGAAATGGAATGAAATTCGAGAAGTCAATGCATTCTGAATGAATTTTGATACTGCGTTGCTTTTTTTTGACTTATAAAGGCTTCAAGTATGATATCGTGTTGAATCAAGCGATCGAAGGATGCTAAAATTCGAACTTTAATGAATCCTTTCAAGCAAACCACTTTCGAGTTCACGCTTGAATCTAATTCGCCGAAAGTGGATGCGAGGTGAAATTTCAGCTGCTACTAACCAACTGACGTAATTGATCATTTGACGGAAAATGCATTTACAGAACATGGCACTCGTGAACGGATACTATTGAAAGTTTTGACGTTAGCAAGATATTTGATTATTAATGGTAATTTCGATTTATTGCGTTCAACGGAAAGAGTGAAACGGAAATGAAAACGAATCAAGTGTTTTTGCTGATTGTGAGCATTTCTCACTTTCAACAAACGACGATATGATCCTACATACTACCTCTCGACACTGCTTCAAACCGACATCTGTCATCTTCTAAGCTAATTGTAAGCTTTAGCCTGAACTTGATCAATCTAAAGCCAAACTGAGCTCAGCGTTGAATTGGTTACTTCAGCGTCACTCGACTCTGTTTGGTTATCTCTTTCCTCTTCGACACGTAATTACTAAACTTTCGTCAAACAGGCAGATAATAATGATATGGATACATGAATAGTCTGAACTGATTAAATGAACGTGATTAATTGAATAACAGAATCAAAAATATCAATCAACAATGAAACGAATAAATCTTGAGTCACTTAATGAGCACTCGTCCGTCATTCGAATAGCCAGATGAAATTAACTATCACACAAGATTAAGCATGAGAATACATGAGACTCTCGTAATATTAATCTCGTCATGTGATTAATTCAAATCCCTTATTTCACACGAACCAATTTTAAAACAAACACATAAACGCGCACATTTTGGAGTGATTTATTTACTCAATTTGAGGATTCAATTTTGGGAATGAATAAATGCACTTCAATAAATTATTCCATGTTGGGATGATTCAATTAGTCGACTTGCACTGGGTGAATTTTGCACTGAATTGAATTATTTTCGTTCATTTCCGACATCGAATCGATACGAAATTACCCCTTTACATATTACTTTATCGCATTTTATTTAATGCAGTTTTCGGTTCTTACACTTCTTTTTCGCACATTTCATCTTGACTTCTTCTCATCTCAAATTTCATAAACAGATTTGTTTTCGAGTACTTTTAGAATAATGAAATTCAGTGATAAATATAAATGGTGATAATAACGACTTGTTCAATTATAAGTGCATGTATTCATAACAACTTTGAATGTAATAAGTTTGTTAAAAAATAATGATAATGTGCAAGTGCGTTGTTGTGATTATTAGGTAGGATTAGTATTTAACAGTTGTTCAGAATCAGCAAAACGGATAAAGTGTAATGCGAGTTGGATCGCTTTGCTGGCAGTGACACACCAAAGACCGTCAAAATGTTGTATATGCTGTGCTGAGATTTTTGTTCTTGCAGGCATTTAACGTTCACGTGCGATTTGTTTATAACAACGGATTCACTTCGAAGGCAATCCAATTGCTTTCGGAAATGTTTGGTTGTCATTTCGAATTATTTTCATTCACTTGAATTGTGCTCTTCTCTGGTAATTCAATTGGAAAACTTCAAAATTCTAGATCAAAGTCCGACCGACCTTAATCCATGCGGATTAGGTTAAAGTACGATTCGGACGTCAGTACAAGATTCGAAAAAATATAATTTGATTATAAACAAACTTTTCACTATTTAACTATCGTAATCAGGTTAGCAATTCATAATCGCAGTAATAATGAGGTTGAGAACCGAGTGGATTTTGGTCTGCAGATGGCGAAAACGATGTGTTTATTTCAAGCAGCAATCACGACTCATTACGAGTTTATGCCTCTCGGTTATCACCAATATCCTTCCTTGACATTCTTATTTCCGTGCAACTAACGACATCGGCGCCGGGCATGATTTGCCTTCATTCTTGGATTATTATTTTGGTGAAAACAAATATTTGATTGTGGTTATCATTCTTTATGAATATCAGAAGCTGCCCAGAAGCATGGTGATTCCTTCACACCCTGATTTTAGAGAAGCATATATGCTGTCGCACGATTATGCCTATCCTCATAAAATTAGCTCAATTTCTGAACAAACAACTTCCGAACAACCAAAAAAGCGCGGCTGGCAGCAGTTAAACACCTTTCTGCTTTCATTCGAATGACCAATGTTTGCCGAAGAAATCCACGAGATGTTCAGACGGCGAGGAATCCCGTGAAACGGGGTCCGGATCCTCGGATTTGAATGAAGAGGACTGGACGACCCGCTCTCATTCCTAATCCAAAAAATAACTTCATATAATAATAACATTAATGACTTGATTATCACCATAATGAGTATCATTAGTATTCTCATTAATATGCAATTAACGCCTGATTAATTAATATGCTTATTGTCAGATTTGAATGACGCACGCTAGTAATGCTATATGATATGGAATGTAATGTTTTTATGATTCGTACTTACTCAGCAGTGAATTAATTCATTCATATGAACAGATTGCAAAGAGTCATACTTACTCATGTTCATCGTAACAGAACATTTTATTGATTTCAAAAAGCTACTTTCATCGCTCCACTAAAAGAACACATTCGGACAAAATTCCTTTTTCACATTCGCTAATTGCTAAATTCGATTCACCATCACCGTAAATACGACGACTAAGTGAACAAAATTTTCACATTTATCTCATTGTCAGTTGGTGGCGAAATCGTTTTCACTGAATAAGTGTAAATAATTTTGAAAGCAGTGAAATTCTTTTGCAAACAATACAACTATATTTGTGTATAGTTACTTATTCACGCGATAATTCTTCTGCTGAAAATCGATAACACAATTTCGCACTTGTGAATATATTTCCTTTAGTGTTCCTATGTTAACACTTCGAAGGAGGTTGTCTTGTTTGACGAAACAAACCAATCGTGGCTGTTGGGTCTATAACGTCATTTTTGATGAATAGAATATTGTTTTGTGTCGTCGGCGATCCATTTTCGTTAGCGAGAGTGAATTCATTCAGAATGGATAATAATCGTTATCTATCGTCTAGTGCTGTCGTAATAATAATCATAGGATAATAATTACGAAACTAATGTACTNTGAGATAATGGAAAATGCTATCCCATAAGAAGAAGAACGCTCATAAATAAACAATTGTTAGAGTCGAGATCGTGTTAAACTCTGTGTTGATGAACACAGCAAAATGACGATAATAATTATCGAGGCAGCTGACGTTTCGATTCGTGAAGCCATAATAATAGTGCAAACAAACTGAAAGAACATAAGCATTGAGGCGGAAGAATGCTTAATAATTGGAATGAATGCCTTCAATGATAACGTCAAATAATATGTTTTATGAAGATGTAATTAACGCGGTTGTTAATGAATCGAATTTGTTGAATATACTCACCAAAATGCAATTATGCATTCGTAAGCATCGACGTCATTTTGCACTGCGTTATTTGATGAAAGAGAGTGGTTTACAATGGATTGTGTTTAATGCTAATGACAATAGAAACGAGAATGATCTTTGTGAGCATGTGAATGGTTGTTTCGTCATAAAATGTGATAGTATACTAGAAATTAATTGAATTCGTTGTCTTCAAACGAACATGAGAGCATGTTAACGAGTCAGTCAATCCGGCTGTCGTCTAAGCGTCACACTAATCCAAAGCAATAGCCATACTCAAAATCGCATTCATATTCATTCACAAATTCAATATCCGACCAAATCCATTGTGATGATATTCGTCCAGCTTGATGAGGGTCTATCTATCGCGCTATTAAATCTATGAGGCGTATCCATCCCTTCAGAGGCTATCCATCCTGTTTTTATCCGTCCATCTGTTCATCCATTCTTTCATTCATTCATCCGCCTTATTCAAATCCAAATATCACTTCATCCCAACACGTTCGTCCCACCACTCCAATTCTTACAGCTGAACAAATTGCAGCTAGTGCATGAATATTTTTGCCATTATCCCGTTGCACTGATCCTCGTCCTGGTTATCTCTGTAACTCGTCCGTCGCTTTTCGACTTTTTTTGCGAATTTCTCAATGTGAACATGTCTGCATAGTATCATTTATTATNTTATGTGTACGCTATTTTCATAGGATTCTTAATATTATTAGTTGTGATTCAAAACGGCATATATTTCTGACAAAATATATCACCCGCGAAGTTAGAAATAATACATTGATGTCCGATGTTCCGGCATTATGCCATCTTCAGGAGCATCATTTGAATCACTGACGTCGTGTCGAACTTTGATGTGGGGATTAAAGCTCAAGGATTATGGAGGGCAGGGTAGGAGATTATAGGAAGGTTAATAATTATTGAAAAGATAAGAAATTAGGTGATGATAAATGCGTATGATCATTATCATTATAGATATTATTATTAACATTATGGATATAATTATTATTGCTATAAATATGATTATTACCATCATGAATGTGGTTATTACCGTTATAAATATGATTGTTACGGTTGTAGATTTGGTCTTTGATAGCATTATGAATGTTATAAAAATGATCACTGCTATTATCGTTGTGATTATTATTATTCTCATTAGTATATCCATAGTGTTAATTACAAATCCAGATATGTGATTACGATGGTGTAGCGTAACGTTCATTTTTTTGATCATTTCATTAGCTCAACTTCCGCGTGAAGTTGTGATAATTATTCCGTGAATATTCAATTATATTTGCCGCATGCGACGGCGATCCATTACCCCTTCGATAGTCTGGCATGCCGTCACTACCCCTCCCGCTACATTAATTTACTACTTCCACGCATAACGTCGAATTTCATGATCCTCCCTTCATTGCCCCCTGACATAAGCAAATTGCTCAAAATTGGGTAATTTCCCTCTGTGGGAACCCCTGGTATACGAGACGTATTATATTATTGATAATAATTGTAATGAGAATAGCGAGAATCAACGCGTTGTAAATCATTGTCCATTATGAATGATAATTATAATGAACAATGATATAAATAATAATAATAATAACAATAATAATAATAAATACCAGTAACAAATGAAGTTTAGAATGCAAAATGAAAGTGAAGTGGAATACTATGACGAAACGTCAGTAGACTATTTATTAGGCCGTGATATGCTGTTAACATTACGGTATTATGCACGTCATGTTATACCATGCTTTTGTGTCACCGGTATTATTGGGAACTGTATGGCATTGATGCTTATAAGGTATTGCTTTGAAAGTCACTCATTTCCTTAACGATCGTGCATATGCGGTCATTATTTTGATAATGACATTCATAGATATGACGTCAATAATAAGAACTGTATTGTTAGTAGTGCTTTTGGTAATGTTACTGATGAGTATCGCTGAATTGAATCGTTAAACATGAATCGGAAAAAGCTTTCGAGTTTGCATTCGGTTTAAGTACACGTACACTACTATTACATTTTGTAATTTTTTGGTTTCTGAAGTGAAGATAATTTGAGCAAGATTATATGTTTGTGCTCAAAATTGGTCGGAGAGTTTGTTCAAGGGCAATATTAAGTGGGTGAGTAGGCTGATTTAAAAATAAAAGTGGTGATTATGGTAAGGATTTTATTGAGGTAGTAATTGCAACGTCGAGGTTGGTAATCATTACAACCTACCATTACAACAGCAATAAAATGACTAGTATCGATACATTTCCTGACGGCTAACACAATGACTGAATACCTTGAATTATGTTACAAGTTTAAATCGCTTCGCCTTTATGATGTTAACAACCAACTCTATGCACTGAAAGGAGAGTGGTAATAAGGATACAAAAAACTTAACATGACGAAAGAATTGGCGTTAAGAACGTTTTATCGTCACAATTTCGATTTAGTAAATAAGTTAAAACATCGCCTTTTAAATTTGTCATTTTTTGAGAGTTGAAGTGCTGAGAATAATACCAATAAAGTGGGGATATTATCGGTAATAATAGCTTAATAAAGTCAGTATTTGAGGACAAACTACTGGCTGAAACGATTGACATCGAACATCTATCTGTGTACCCTATCGATCTGCAGTTGTATATTCTTATTAACGGTGTTTATCACATGGATTGATAATGTGTTCGATGTGGCGCTCTATAATAACTCAGAAATTGGATGTCGTTTACTGACATTTTTCGCGCATATGAGTGATTTCAATTGCGTATGGATGATCTCATGGGTGTCTTGCGATCGCGCCATTGTACTGTTCAGACCGGGTCGGTGCTTATGTTTTGTTTCTCAATTTTGCATTATATCCTGATCACTCATATTGCTTCATTCGTAAAATTTGGATATCTTCAAATTTGATGATATCATCTTCCACAGCGGATTGCATTATTTCCTTGTGCTTTTCATTATTTCCGTGTAAGAGTTAATGACTGAGTTAAGGACAACTATGTTCAAAAAATGATGGAATTTTCTGTCTGTTAATGTTTTTGAATTGATTTACTCATTTCATTTGAGCTTTTCATTTATTGTTCAAGCATTTTTTGGAATATGATGCACAATTCAGGAATTCGAAAGAATGTTTGCTCGAAAAAATTCGCGAGATACATGGTGCTGGCAACAGTGGTTTGCAGTTGTGTGCTGTATTCGTGGTGTTTGATATCGGCTGGCCTCGAGGAGGAGAACAATTCGTTGTTTTGTGGCTTATCGCAGAATTTATCATTCATCGGGTTATTTCGTCTGTTGTTGTTGTTATTATTCTTATTATCGTTATTGTTTCATCGGTGTTGTTTAAAATTATGCAAATGCAATTTGCATAATCATTCAGACGTTGCGATCGCATCGTGGCATCAACTGATTAGACTTACTTCATTGTGGATTCACCTCCGGCTCTTGAGAAGATATTTTTGAATGAGACATCGATCGCTATTCGTTGATCTCTGATTCAAATACTTTTAGCTTCAAATTTTAAGTTGTCTCTTCGACTGTTCAACATAGATCTATATGAAAATTACTGTGGATATGCGCATCCTATTCGTATGATTGAATTTGCACGAACGAAATCGTGCACTTTTCACTAATGGAATATTTTTCAATTTTCTTGCAACTTAACAGTTCTCCGATCGTAATTTTCGGAGAAAAAGCGCCTAGCCTGAGCCTTCGTTTTAATCTAATGTTGAAAATAGTAACAAAAACTGATGAGATCAATTGAAACAGCAAATGAAAGCTTTGACGTCGTATGTGTGGAGCAGTTAGATAAGAGATTTTTGGAGATTTGATTAAATATGCTGTTATATCTATCGTTTCTAAACAGCGGCGATAGGTGACGAGACAGATTCGAAGAATTGCATCCGAGCCGTGATTGCAGACAGTCTCATATTGCAGGCATAATTAGATGTATTCATACGGATATGAATTTGATTTTTTTATTTTATTTTCTTTAATCAGCAAATCCAACTCATTATTATTTTATGTCTCTCTGTTATTACCAATATCACTGATATCACCGATATAACCAATATCACATTCATCCTTCCTTAGCAGTCTTCTTTCCCCGCAGCTAACGATAATAGAGTTGGGAATCACCTGTCTTCAGGAAATTCTAGTTTGGATTAGTGATTTGTTAAGCACAGATGTTTTGGGCGTCTCTCCCATATTGCCCAATGATTTCTAGGAAGAGGGACTCAAACGGAGCCCGAAAATACATTCCGATTGATCGATTGAACATTCGTCCAACGATCGTTCAGAGTAGTTGTTTGGAACAACCAACAGCACTGAATCAGTAATCTTTCGGTATCAGTAATAAACAATTAATGCAACCGAGTAGATCCATAGCAATCGGCGTATCAAACATTCCATAACCAAGCAGTAACGAATGCCCGTTGCCACAAATAATTTGCACATTTGAATACAGCCGAATACGAATATCAATCCATTAAACAGCCGCAAAAATGACGAACATTTGCCGATTGCATAGAGCGATCAGCAAATTAACTGCTCAGAGCTCAAACAGTTAATGCAATTCCGTGAATTTGATTGATGATTATTAATTACGATATAGATAATAGGGTGCTATTAAAATGATTTACTCATGAGATTAGCATTGATGCGAGTGTTGATAACAGATTCTATGAAATAAATATGAAGGAATGATAAAAGCAAATATCAAAGATATTTACTTTCAGCATTCCATCACAAAAGCAAACAGTGGGTCTTCTCATTGTTGTTTTAGTCGTTTTAGACGGGATATTTTGTGATAACAATGATAAGTGATAATCACCCCTGTCTGATCTGCCTGTTGTATGATGAAGTTTATTCTTGAGTCCAGTGCCATTTAGGCTGATCGATTCTGTTCCGAACTTTTGAGTTTCGCTTATCGCATTCAGATCTACTTGATGAATGAGTCTTCTCATCGATATTTCAACGTTTCAAGAGAATATTTATATTCCCACAGGGACCATTGTGTGGTTCTTATTGTCCACTGATTATCTCTCATATGCACTACATGTCAACCTATCGATGTCTTCAATCATTTACTGTTTTGGAACGCATCTCACTCATTGTTGCTATCAATCAAACATCGCAAATATGACGACTTCATATCCGCAAACTGCTCATATTGATGATGAGAAGTGAAAAACTGACATGATAAAGAAAACAACAACAATAATGACGGTAGTGATAAGCAATGATAGTTTCTTTGGTGATGACAATAACTGTGATTTCAGATATGATCTCGGAGAGATGCATTTTTACTTCACATTTATTGATACGGTGATCTGTACGATAGTACCATCGTTGTTGATCAGTGTTGTGAATAGTTTGGCGGTGTATCGATATCGACAATGCATGAAGATCTATTCATCCGGGGTGTTGAGAGTACGATTCGTGAAGGTGAACGATGATCAACATACACCGCAACTTGTGGCTCGTTTCTTATTTATTTATCGCTTAATTGTTACTCTTTATGATTACTACTCACTGTTAATGGTATTGTTATGATTGTTTACTGTATATTGTTTGAGGAGGACACGACTAACGCCAAAAAGTTATTGCTAAGTCAGCAGAGTCATACCACCCAGTATAGCACTCAGTCGAATCGATCTACCAATGGTGGCAAACTGCGCTCCTCAGATTTGCAATTGAGTAGATCGTTGCTTATCGTTACGAGGTTATTTCTTATTTACTTGTTTACTTTATTTATTCGATCGAAATAGGTAAACGAGTTCAATTATAATGATAACGGAATAGCGAATATAAATTCCAAACTAATTTTGGGGAGAGGAGAAAGAAAAAATATTGAAAACGAAAAGTAAAAGATTTAAAATCTTATTTTATTAAAGGTATAGTAATTTAATTTTTTAAATGAAATAATGGTTGCATGCATTCAGCACGTTCGTGTGTTTAACAGTACCGAACTATGCATTTCGTATATACATATCAATATTCAACCCCGCGTCGGTATTGTTCCAGTTGTTATTTTTTACAACATTTTTACTGTATTATCTGCATCACGCGGTTCTCTTCTACATGTATATCTTCTGGAGGTTATTAGTTAATTTATTTAATGTTCTTATTGCATAGATTAAGCGTTCGGTTATTCGTCATTGCAAGGATTTGAAAATTACAAGTGGAAGCGATCTCTGAGACGGAAATTATGATTCATGATATTTTCGAAAGTTCGAAAACTGATTTTCTATAAAACTGAAACGTAAAAATGTTCTATACCGCGTCTTTGATTAGAGTTACGGTTTGGTATCATTGGAAGAAGATGCACAGTAGTATTGTGTATTACGTATAGAATCATACTTGATGGCATATATTCCGTGTATCGCTTAAAAGTAAAGTATAAAAGTTCATCCGCAAAAGTGGTTCATCCATCATCTGAATCGACGTTGTATCTTTGCTGATTGACGTTATTTGAAGATTTAAGCACAACTAATAATAAATGAATTGCAGTCCGCAAATGAAGAAGCAGCTAAAGCCAACAGCATTAAAATTACTGGAGTGCTACTGCTGCAAAACGGTTCCTGAATTTGGCCATTCACAGCGCTATCACCATTGATTTCGACTAATTGCTGCGTTAATTTATTGATTGCTATGGCTGATAATAACAGCAATAATAATATTGCTGACATTATCATTATTATATTCAATGATAAGGTAATGGTTATGAATATAATAGTAATTATCACCACTATTTTAAATCACTTTCATCACTTGTTATTATTGGCTTCTGGATATTTACGTAGATCGTTGATATTTGGTATTTTTTTAGTGCTCACAACTTGATTGTCTCGGAATTATTGCTGTTCATTTCATGTATTGGTTGTTTTTTCCTTGTATTTAAAATTTATCGAAAATTGCATAATGTCATTGTTGTCGTATTGGTGATATTTTTGTTTTTTTTCCACTTCATTATCATAAATGTTACCAATATCTAACAATCCTTTATTCCTGCATGCGAAATGTCCAGTTTTTACGGCATGTTTTCGTACGAATTGAATTGATCTGATATAACTGAATGCTCATGACATATATCTCTTATTTTAGTCGGTTATTCTAGTCGTAAACACAGTTTCGTTTGGATGTTTTGAGTCGGTTTCAGCATTGATCATTTTGGTAAGAGTATATTTTACTTCTATTGGTTAGTGTGTTGCGGGGACAGAAAAAAAGTCGGGGTCGGAGTTTTGCAGTCGAAGATCCCAAAAATGCGGTCGGCTGAAGAAAGTTAGGAACGGAGTCCCAGAAATTCCTCGCGACACACTGCTATTGCTGCTGTTATTATTGTTATGTCAATAACAACTTTTATTTAGCATTTGTTAATTATTCGTTACTGTCCTATTTCTTCGAAAAGATGTAGTTATATCGTTCTTATTCGGTTGATATTTATAAATTTGCTTGTCCAAATATTTATATTCTCATTTGGCTGTATCAAATCGGTTACTGCTTGTGAATTATATTACGTGTACTTCAAATATATTTATTATCTCCTTCTCCTTAGTATATGTACATAAAAATGTATTATTGTTATTGCAACGTTGCATTTCTTTTAACATGATCAATAGCATACCGTATCTCGTTTGTTTAACAATCCCGAGGGATGTAAACTTCTTGGTTTATTTTAAAAGGGAAATTGTACTGGGGATTACGGTGCTCATTGATACTTCTAATGAAGATTGCGGTCCCGCTTATATTTTTTTGCGAATTATGGTACTTACTGATACATTTGTCTTGTTAATGTTTTGATGCATGTATTATTTTGAGCAGTGATATTGGAGGATGTAAGATGCTTGGAAATAAAGTAACGATGTCCTGGACAAATACCATTCAGAACGTCCACATATGCGGTATTTAGTACCGTGCAAAATTGTGCTGTCTACAATAAACTGTATGCCCGCCATGCTCCATGTCTAGAATGAGCCACATTATACTGTTTGTTGCTAAATATTCCCCGTAATCAATTCAGTCAAAACTGAAAAAAACAAGAACATCAATTTCGCTGCATCTTGTAATATGGTGTTTGTAATTCAGTTTGCAATAAATGAACATTTTTTCATATGTTTATCTCTCAACTAAACTTGATTAATCATCCTTCGGTGTCACAAAGGATTTACATCGATTCCAAACCAAATATCTCAATTACGAGGTCTAATGATCTATATTTAATGTAATTGTGAGTTACCTATCTAATTCTAAGTGTAATACACCTTATTAAATTTGGTTAAAACAAATTCAAGGGTCTCGAAAAAAATTTATACACTGCACAATTCGCTACACATTTCAGAACAACTTTCATGTATGTGCGAAGAGACTAAGCAATAAATATGATTACTGAAAATATGTACTTTTACTTTTCTCAGTAATCTCATGTACTTTTCAGTAGCAATGATGTCTTATTGAGAATAATCACATTTCATGTTCAAAATAACATCTGTTAATGTAGTCACGCATGACCGCAGGGTAGCCGACTAGCAATGAATGGAGCAATCTGTTGTTCGCAAAAAAAAGCCTGTGACCAAGGTTTGAAGAGGGAGGATGGCAGAACTAGTCACGTCTTTTTATTTATTCGGTGTATCTCCTCAAAAGTTGTAAAAATTTAACGGGTTGGTCTGGATTTTGAGGGGATAACCGAATACCAAAGCCCAGCAACGAATAGCTGATGCCGCGTAAGTGCAGGATTAGTTCAACCTCAGCGTCGTTGATTTTGTACTAACAAAAATGACCATTAATAACTCATCAAATCGAAAATTTCAGCAACAGTAACAGCAGCAGTAGCAGAAGCACTGGAACTGGAACTCTAAGTACCATCACATAAAATGATCGAAATAACGGTAAATGATCGTCTCGGCAAGAAAGTTCGAATCAAATGTAATCCAACGGATACGATTGGAGATTTGAAGAAATTGATTGCCGCCCAAACAGGAACAAGGTTGGTTGGCACCGAGGAAACCGAACGCTTCTTGTTTCGCAAAAAAAATTTCAGTTTATTGATGAAAAATCAACGCGATGCATTTGAGTCACTAACGATAAGCGATTGAGTCAATTGCACATCATGGCACGAAATAATTACTGCCTTCCGTCGGGCGAAATTTTTCATTGATTTTCAGATACGACAAGATTGTACTGAAGAAATGGTATACGATATTCAAGGATCAGATAACGTTACAAGATTACGAAATACATGATGGATTCAACTTTGAATTGTATTATCAATGAACGTCGTCATCATATCAATTTGCACTTTGCTGTTCTGTTCATAAACATTGTCGTATCGTTTCGTTGTTTTGTTTTTCTTCTAATGTTTGAAAGAACGCCTTTTTCTCGAATGTCAAATTCTTTTGCACTTACGATTCAGTGACAAATATCGATAACACAATGCAGTCTATCCACTCATATCCGATCTCGTTGGTGTTGAATGTGTTCGGATAGCAGATGCAATCCTCTGATAACATGAGTTATATGAATGTGGTGCCTGGCATGTTCGTCATGTAAAAGGACGATAAGGTGCTAATTATAGTGCATCCTAGCAACCACTTTCATCTACCAATCACCACTCAGATGGAATGCACTTTTAGAAGAGGTGATCGTCAGTATTTTGCTATTTTAATAGCATTTCCTCATAGAGTTGATAAAATGGAAAGCTGAAAGCTGAATCGAAAGTTGATGAAGCGAAAGCTTTCGGCAATTTATTCGAAGTTTCTGGTGCGTTAAATAGGTCGCCGTTGAGATACTTTCAGCTGTTTTTCCCGAGTGAATTGCTAAGGTTTTTTAAGGTTGCGTGCGACAATAGAAGCTTGCTTCATCATTTCTGAGAATTTGATCGATGCACAAGTTTTCTTGTTTAGTTATATTATCGAACTGAGGAGTCGACATGCCTTTTTTAAAGCTATAGGCCACATTGGAGAGTTTCGACATGGGCCGTAAGTCAGATGATCATCAGTTGTGAATAATAGCGAAGTTTCGTAATTTTGACCACACAACAAATGCAAAAACGCCTTTTCCTCAAAACTTCTTCACGTGTGTTCACACACGATCCAGTGGCAGATATCGATGACGCAATACACTCTTAACCACTCACATCCGATTGCCTCATTTTACATGCTCATCTGCTGTAGTTTTGAAACTTTGCTTCCGTGTGCTTAAGGCATAATGAATTTTTCATTGATTCTCATATTTCCAACTCGAAAGGTTTTTGAATCCGACATCCTAAAAGTGGGAAATGACCATTTTCGTTACATCGTAAAGAACCATCGCAGGGCTGCAATACTGCCGATCAAATGAGTGTCATGCATCAAACCCATTTAATATCACCATTTCAGAAATATTCGTCAGAAACATGGGAAACAACTAATTGCAAGATCAAAACGGTCAATGGAAACAATGGATGGTCGCTCGCATATGAAGAATTTTGCAGTGAACATTTTAAATTTTAAATTGTTCAAAGTGAACAAGCTTAGCAAAAAAAGAACTTCTAGTGGTAAATGAACTTCGCCTTATGGTTTCATGAGCGGCGCTCCTCACTACCCTTCTTTCCACCATCAATTCAGTCTCGGTTCTTAAATGCTCTCCCGTCTCATCAGCCTTTAATTTGCAAATATCGCACAATGTATGCTTGGTCATGTGAACACACGAACAGCGAATCATAAGGAAACTTTGTGAAAACTTCTGCTTTCAAGCATACATTATTCAAGTGCAAGCATGCGATAACACTTTATCTGCACATATAAATCTTTCATGCACCCGAACACCGTTCCGTGGAAAATTTGACAGATTTGTACGATAGAAAAAGATGAAAATTTCATGTGAACATGAAATATCAGAATGCATTATGAGACTCGCTGTAGAACAGAATCCGATATAAAAGATTAAGCAGAAAAGTACACACTACTAATTGTTGATATTATACAACCAGATTTGCACTTCAATCCGGAAATTTTGAGATTTCATTTCTCTCAGATCTTAGAGCCTCATCCGCTCTCGAGAGCGGATGAGGCTCTAAGTACAACGACTAAAAGATAATGGGATGAACGCAACGAACAGAGATCACAACAGATAGAGCAATTTCATACGATAGTGCAAAGAGTGATCTCATACTATTGATGAGTGAAAATGTTTCATCACTGAAGAAGCACATGTTCTGCGCTTCTGTATTCGAGTTTATTGGAACGGCAAAATTGACGACTCAACACCGTCGTAATCCCTCGGGCACAACAGAAATAAGAAGTAAGAATGAGATAAACATTGTGGTAGTATAATAAATCATAATAGATGGTCTGTATGAAAACCGTTTGGGTCGGGTATTAGCCGGAAAAATCATTTGTATGCTTGGTATTTGTGAACTTTAGTCGTGCGTTTAGCACGATGTTTAGTCAAAGTGACGGATGTGTTCGCTGTTCAAAATTTAATTGAGATAAAAGTTTGATTTTATGACCGACCGCTCATTGCATGCAATCTACTGATTGCACTCATCCACTTCGACATGATAGGTTTCGGATATGAATATAGGCAGATAGAGTGCAGTACTCGAGGAATTCGAGTGCTATGCATTCTTCCCACCTCAATTACAATGAGTACCTCTCATTATTTGATTACCGCTCTCATCCTTTCTATGTCAAACAGCCGCAGTTGTGAATAAGGTCAGTCAGGAGCTTAATCAGGCTCGATGGGCTCCTGAGAACGAGAGTAAGAGATAGGATCAGGCGCTCTGAAAGCCTCTTAATTGTTCGAGAGTCCCCAAGGGTAGGGAGCAGAGTCGTGAGACCCTGGAATCCCAAAATAAATGCTCGATGGCCGCGGACACTATCCTAAGGAATGCTCGAATCTCGGGGTCTGTCTCCATAAATTCTTTTGTTCGCATAAATTCTTGTGTGCACATGCACACATTTGTGCGTGTGCTATGCACATATTTATTCACTCGTCCCCTACGATATTCCACCCCGCCGCAGTATCATTTGAAAACACTATGAAAAAGTTGAAGAAATAATAGTAAAAGCATAACTCATTATCTCATGCAACTGCTACGAGCCAAATAAGGTCAACTCGTGGATAATATTTTACGAATTTCTGAAGAACCTTTTTGGGACACTTTTGGCCAACGGGCCGCATTTTATTGACGATTCATAGTCGAATTCGTCACAGAATTTTTCTGCATTAATGTACCGGCCTTCTTACCACTGTCAATTAACTTATTTCATGACATTCGTTCCGGAATAGAAATGGCCCGAAAAATGAGTGCTGAGAAGAATAGGAATCAAGCAAATTATAAGAACGATTAGCTTTTTGTCACAAAATTAGACCAGTTATCGTTTAATCTTCATCTGCTTTCTTACCTGAATCGAGTTGATCTAATTTCAAGTCAAATCCCTCATCGCACACAATACCTCTTCACTATTTGACTGATCGAATTGATCTGCTAATGCGTTGTCAAAACGTATGCGATAAATGCATGGATACATCAATCAATCTCTTTATCAATATGCAACAAAATAAACTTTCCAAAAAATATGAACAGTTGAAGAGCGAAGTGATTATAAAAGGCACATTGAGACGTATCACAAAAATACAGTTATATTTAATTTATTCATTAAGTCAATGAACAGGGAAGAAGCATTAATCAAGTTTATATCACACTGATTTTTTAGGAGTTCGTACAATAGACTCCAACGAGAATAATTTCTTCATAAAAATAATAATAACCAAACGTTATTTTATTTAACAGTAATGATGAATATAGCAAAAAGATATATATCACCATCTCTTCTCGACATCATCACGCATTATATCATTATCTCTTAATATATCACTTTGTTCACCTTTCATATATCTGTCACTTGGTCATCATGAACCAACTGTAATTTATCGCTGTCCGTTTTGACGGCCCTTCGAGGTGGTATCGCTGGTCTGAGTAAATCTGCCTTTGGCGCTGAAAATGTTCACTTGAAAGATTCGCATATCTGGGGATATTTTGATAAATGGTCATTTGCTCACCCATGTCGTTCATTTAAAAGTCGTTTTAATTCGTATTTGATTCATCGTCAGTGAAATTTCCTTTCCGCTCTCCACTGACGAGAAATTATTGATCAGTGTTTAGAGATTAGGATTATTTTCGAAGAACATGATCAATATTGTTCATTCTTTTCCATAACTAACACCAATTTTGTTCGGCTTTAGTGTATACGACTGATTTTCCACCCAGCTGTTCAAGTAAAAACCCACACATGTTTGAATTCAAACAATATAATTTACTCTATATCATCATGTTTTTTCCACTTGTGACAATTTGCTTTTTTGGAGGAGTATTCCATCTGTTTTTGTTTTACTGTTTCATTTCGTACAAAACAGTTCAGAGGCACATCAAGACAGTTGTATCGAAGATCGTTTCAATACTCTCTGTCTCGCTCGAATCACCGAACGAATAAAACCAACCAATAACAGAGGATGATGGTTCAGGTTTGAGATTATCAGCAGCGTTGTTACGTTCAGTGGAAGATGGCTGTGCTATAGTATCGTTACCGTTCGATAAAGATATTCTATCACTATGATCATCGATTTCGTATACTGGATTCGTGAACGTTGTGGATGACGATGAGCCTGCACCCACTCCACCTGGAGCGTTCAACTGAGCCATACTGTATTCCACCGGTGTAGCATCACTCTTTAACATTATTATTATTGTTATATTACATTTCACTATCTTTTTCACAACCAATATATATTTTCATGTTTTGTTTCGCTGTCTTAGTTTTTACTTTGAACATTTGAATGTAATAATTGACTGAACTTTAAGAAAATCTGATAGCTTTGAATCGTATCTAAATATTGGATTTTAAAAAAAAAGTAGTGATAAAGGAGATTGAAGCTTGATAGTCGTTGAAGAGTACAAAAAAAANAAAAAAAAGATGAAGAAATTCACCGGTTTAGGTTCAAGAACGGGGTTACTGAACGATATCACGTTGCCATGGAACGAAACACTTCCATCATCGACTTGCTGCTTTTTGAATAGTAATAAACGCTTCTTGTAAAGATTTATCGTTACAAATATAACGATACCGATACACACCAGCAAAGAAATTAACAACAGCAATGCCAATATTGTATTGGAACCAAATCGACCGATCAACTGAAAACGAATTTTTCAGTTTTCAAAAATTAAGCATTCAAATTTTTAACGTTTAGTTTGAATTCCACTAAAACTGCTCACCTGACGTGATACAGACGACTGTTTTTGGCATTGATCGCCTTCGAAGTCACCACATTCACATGTACCATCCAAATTGCAGATACCACCGTTTTGACATGAGCACTGTTTCGGTAGACTTAACTCTTCGATCTGTGTTGCTGTACATGAACCATCCTTCAATCAAACGCAATATTATTCATCATTAGAAAAAATCAACGAGGCCAACCAACAATGACCAATACGATCAAACATCAGCTGAAATCCCTAACATGATGCGTCTTAAAACTGGTTCATCCATTTCAGTTTTATGCCGAACAATCAGTAAATTTGTATTGCTTTCATCAATTGGAAAAGTAGAAATGAAACGCACATCCAAAGGATGATTGAAGTCAGGACACAAACAAATGAAGTTATTTGCTGGTAGCTCCACACATAGATGAGTGCAAGAGGATTGCGCGCATGCAGATGTTGCACGAGTTACATCACGAGAGTATCGTTGCTGTATTCGAATGCTGTGCACATTGGTCAGATCTGATCCTAACACATGAACGCGACCTCGACCGAATTTATCCTTCAATTTATCCGAAATTGTTTGCGTTCAATATCCTCATTCATTATTAAATATTGCTCTATCTCTTTTATGATGATTGCATTGGATAAGAAGCGCACCTGCACGTAAAGATTCTGTGTTTCCTTTGATGACCAATAAAGATTATTTTCAAAGACATCAATCGACCACGGTGTTCGTATATCGTGCACTATTGTCATTCGTTTTGTACCTGCAATACAAATTCAGTAATTCCTGTGATTAATGTTGATCTGAAAATCATGTGAATCAACAATAACAGTGAATAGTATGAAATGTACAGTGTGAAAGTGATACAAACCATCAGGTAATATCGAGTCAACTTTGTGGTATTTGGGATCTGCCCAATAGATGCGATTATCTTTCGCCTCGTCGATTGTCATCGAAGTCGGTGAATAGATCAATTCATTGACAATAACCTAAGCATAACAAAAGTAATTTAAATCAATAAAATTGATCATTTGAGATTAATAGCGATAGGTGATAATAAGTAACCTCGCGATGTTTGCCATCCATATCAGCACATTCAATCTTTGCATCGTTACCCGCATCCGCGTAACAAATTCTACCCAATTGTGGCACTGCGATAATCGCAGTTGGTAATTGCAAACGACCGTAAACAATCCTCTTCAGATAACGACCATCTGATTTCGAGATGAATATGGCACCGTTTATTGCGTTCAGTGAATATGACGGCTGCGAGAAGCGTTTCTTACGTGCTATCACCGTTTGAGATTGCTCATCTGGTATCGTTGTTATGAACAAATTTCTGAAAAAAAATTTTTTTCTCCGAAAAATAACAGATTCCGCTTTGTTTTGATATTTTTACAGGTAGATTTCTTGAGAATCCATTATATTTTAGGAGAAAAATTTTTCTGAAACGACTGAAACGAAGTAATATCCCAAGTTCACTAACCCGGTCAAGTAATCGACGGCCAGTGCAGACGGTGTCATTTTTTGTGACTTGAAATCAATGTCGAGCTGTTGACCAATGTGCGATTGATTTCCTTGAAAAGCAATGTTTGTGAAAATTATCTTCGAATAAAAAGTGATATTGTCCAATAAGAGTTTTTCGCAAAAATGAACAGGTGAAGTGAAATTTTGTAGAAGACAAACAAGCATTTTGCGTTAATGTCTGTCTCGAAAATGAAACCTTTAGCAATGGCCGATCGGTAGATATACTTATAATTTGCATCAATCCAAAACATCAATTCACGTCGAGGATCGAATTCGACAGCAATAATATCGTTATTTTCACTTAACGCTTTTACGGCAGCATGCTTAACGACACCATCTGATTGCGCTAAACCTAGCTGTATGATTTTATCATCTGATGCGATCATCACCAATGCTGCATCACCCTGCAATTCATTGTTTATTTTTTTGTACATCATTCATATCATCACTATTAAAGCATACATATGAATGATTTATGCCACACGCACCTTAGCTCTACAATCTTTACCGGTCATTGCACCAACCACCACGTTGTTTTCGAAATCTTCCAGACATCTGCACAAATAAGATCCTTTTGTGTTGAGACATAGCTAAAATTATAATCATTATTAGTACAGAGATTTGATATTATTATTATTNAGACACATTCAAAATCATGCACCACAACAAGAGATTTGCGTCGAATAGAAACCCTTTTCAAGATTCTTAAGACATCCAGCATGAATGCGGATTGCGCTGATAACTAAGAAGAGCAAAAGAGCAAACAGCTAACCTGTGTGCAAGTATTATTACCAGCACATTCATCGATATCAACACAGTCATATGGATCGATGGGGTTCGGCTTGAATCCATCTCGACAGTGACAGTAATAACCATTCTCGATATCCGTACATAAATGCTTACATCCACCATTATCGGCATTCGTTTCGCATTTACGACCGCTGTGCTTCGCTGCAAATATTGCGTTGATTTCGACTTGCAGGGATTGTTGACATTTAATTATCGTTCAACTCTTCTAGTATTAATTCTCTTAGATTGATCCCTCAAATGACCCGTATAGTGCTACAATAATGTACAGATCGATTTCCACCGCGCTAGCTGAGATACCTTTAAGAACTTGGCTATATCTTCTCAGATAAGCAAAATCGCCCTACAACGCATATGTTTTTCTGAATTTAAAAGTTCTGTGTTACAAATGGTGTGAAGTATTCGCTATTTTACTGGCTGGGCAAACCTGAGAGTAGCGTTAGTTTGAAGACTGCAACCTATAGTAATGCCTCAAAGGTGGAATCTGAATAAGAAATGGATGTGATAAAACTAACAACATCCAATTTCATCGCTCACATCACCACAGTCATCATTCCTGTCGCATGCCAACGAGGCATTTATGCATTTGCCATTTGCACATTTGAATTCATTCTCAGTGCAATCACCATATTCAGAGAATGAACTGCACATTGTTAAATGCTCATCCGAATAATCGTTTGGACCGCAATCGTTGAAGCCGTTACATAACTAAAACTGTTATTAGTATTATCAGTTGTTTTATGATGAACAATAATATCAATATAACCTATGCATTTAATATTTATAAGCACTGATTTAACAGCGAACATCAATTCCACGAACCTGAAGAATATTAAGACAAAGTCTCGAATGTGCACATCTGAATCTGAGCGGTGGTTCACACGAGGCACTTTTGCATTCGTTATTGGTTTCATCCGAATTGTCACCGCAATCGTTATCACCATCGCACATAAACTTACGTGGTATACACACTGAATTATCGCACATGAACTCGTATGTACTACATTCTCGTCTTCCTGGCTGTAATATCAACTCGTTTATACCAACGCCGATAATAATTATCATTGTTATTAGGACAATGCGTGAAAAGAAAGCAAAAACGAACATAATTTTCGCAATGCAATTCATCAGAAGCATTGAAGCAGTCTCTGCGTCTGTCACACCATCGATGTTCCAGTATGCAAGTTCCATCATCACACTGCTTGTATCCCCTTAGACAGTCACGCATTTTACACTGCGATTCGTCCAAGCCATCACTGCACTGAACGGTACCATCGCACACCTGAATTTTGCGTTTTGCGTTACGAACTATGTTATAGATCATGAGCATGTTTCACATTATTCTTTTTCAGGTTTACCTTATTGCCCGGAATACATCGACCATCGTTACAGCGAAATTCAGACTCAGAACAAGGTCTCGAAGTGCCACCACAAGATGCATCCGTTTCATCCGAATCGTCACCACAATCGTTCTCACTATCACACATCCATCTTCTGCAATATTCAATTTCAGTTATGAATGTATTACGATTTTTTCAACTATTCATTGTAATATTGAAAAGTTGTTTTTATATTAGAGCAGATTTGAATATTGAGATACTGAAACGTAAGCGGATTATAGCAATATCTTAAATAAATATTTATGGCGATTATACGGCGAAAATTCGCTTCCGAAACTGAGAAAATCACTGAAGAACCAACCGAGTAGAAAATAAGCATGAAACAATTGAAAATAGCAAAAAATGACCTCGGTATACATTTACCAGTGGTAGCACATCTGAATTCACCGATATCATCACATTTTGGACATCTTTCTATCAATTCGTCCGAATTATCACGGCAATCGTCCTGTCCATTACAGAATGCCCAATCGGGAATGCATCTACAAATAACAACTGTCAAATAAATATAATAAATACGCTTAAATTAGATAAATAATAAATAAGTAAATAAACAGTAAATCAAATAAAGAAGTAAATATATACTAAATAGGCATAAATTGTTCATGAAATGAGTGAAACTCAATGAAAATGGACCTGTACGAAGTGGAACATCGAGTCCAGCCTTTTCTGCACTCTATGTTAACACATTCGGCCGGCTCGTCAGAATTATCACCACAATCATCGTCATTGTCGCACTTCCATGCTTTTGGTATGCATTTGTGATTGCTACATCGAAATTCTTCTGCTGTACAATTGTGGCTCGGATTTTCTGCAATATAAATTCATTGCAGACAAAACGTGAAAATGATCCTTTTCATTGTCCGACAAGCAAAGAGAGATTCTTGAAAAGAAGAAACTTACTGCAGATAATGTCAGATTCATCCGATCGGTCACCACAATCATCATCACCGTCACAAGTGAACCGTTTCGGAATGCACTTACCGGTTGATTGACATTTGAACATCCACGGATCACATGGCTTATCACAGTCTTGCTGAATTATTGCTCATTTTCAATCATTTCTACAGAATAGACGTTTAGGATTAAATAAATACAGATAATACGAATAACAACGGCCAATTGATAAGTGAAATCAACTGAATTCACATACCTCATCTGTTCCGTCCCCGCAATCGTCATTACCATCGCACAGTTGGAATGGTCGTGTGCAGTTATGATTTGAACACTGGAATTCACCAACTGGGCATATCCTTGGACCTGAACACTTGCATAATAAATATAATGTGAACGACGAATGTGAACTAAACAAAAAATTTGAATAAATAAAAACGAACCGCAAATCTCCTTTCCAGGCTCATCGCTGCCATCTCTGCAGTCCACCTCACCATCACAATACCATAATTTCGGTATACATTTCGCATCCTCTCCACCGCACGCGAATTGTCTAGCCGTACAATTCGGTTGACATGTTTTATTATCGGCCAATAAAATGAACTGATCAGCGCATTCACATCGATAATTGATACCACCTTCTGTTAGCAAACACAACTGTGAACATCCACCATTGTTTGTACCACATGGATTTGTGTAGCGCGGTTGTCGAAGTGGATGAATTACCTGAACATTTCTTCGTTTCGTCAGCATATCATTCAATAAGTATATCGAATAGCTAATATAGTCCAGAGTTTTTTAACATGCGCGAAAATGCCTTTATGGNATGGCATGTATCATTGAAAATAAATATTTTTTGGTGGGAAACAAATGAATTTTATTGAGACTAATGTTGTATTGGTATGAACGAACTCTGATATCGTTGGGTAGTTGTGTGGTTGTTTTGAGTATGATTTCATTGGAGCCATTCCATTTATTTGATCGCATGATCTGCCTTAAGTTCCAGTCAGACCAGAACAAGTAGTCGTCGAATATGGTCATTGATGAAACGTGCGATGTTCGTTTGGCTGGTATATGATGTCTTGCGCCTCCATCCAAGTTCATAAAACCTATTTCGTTCAAGTGTGCGTCACCCCAAAATAGTCTGCAAGCATCACTTTTATTTTTACATATTTTACCTGAATAGCCAGCATAATAATACATTTAAAAATCGGCAATACCAACAGTAACAATAATGATAAATTCAGTTAATTAATAACTGATGGTGACGACAAAATGAGTACCAATACTAGCAATAGCAACGATGAAAATAATTTAAAAAGTAATGAAAACAAACTTATTGGAATAGAAATCAATCGCGAGTGCATTCGGCCAACCCAAATCGTTCTCAGCCAATTTAACAATTGGATCAGCAAGATCCGGTGAACCGTCCATGGCCATTCTACCAATATAAGGTTGTAAACTCCATTCCGTGAAGTATATGTAACCTTTTCCTGGATGTACCACTATAGCCTGTAATTTTTACTTAGTCAAGTCTGAGTATATTCATTATACCTATCAATATTGATGAAATAAATTATAAATCAACACTTGACAGCATAAAATATTATTATACAAGGGTGCCCATAAAGCTCTACAGAGGTGCCTGTAAAATGGATACATTTTACACAAGAATGTCTGGATATCTGCATACATATGGAGTATTTTTATATGGAGTTGTCTATAAAAGGCAGGGATATATCAGCAAAATACGCATACGTTTTAAAAAGTAAAATTTTTAACTGAATTTCATTATTTATTTTTAGATACAAAAGATAGGATTTCTACGAATTGTACTAATCCGCAAAGACTGATGCATTGCATTGTTGAAATGCTGATGAAAATTTTGTTTCTTCGAATTATACACTTTACTTAGATCGCGATCTTGGGAACACCTTATGCTCTAATAACATACCTTTGGTTGTGAGATGCGATCTCTAATTAAAGTTTTGCAAAAACGTCCATCCAATTCACAGACACGAATCGATCGTTCTTGTCTGTTCAACGTGTATAATTTACGTCCAACCCAATCAACAGCAAGGCCTTAAAGTCAATTTAGTCAATGCGTAGATTACGAATAAATGAATATAAATAAAGACAGTATTGATGAATGTATGAACGTTAAAAACACATTGAATTACATAATTATCTTTAAAATACACAAACATCGTTTCACATGAAATATCCAATCACATAGTAAGCAGAAAAAAGGCGATGAAGACGGCAACAAAAGAAAAGCAAAAACCTTCAGTTCCAAATATGTTATGTCTGAGTACAACTTCATATGAATCAATCGGTTGATCCAGTTCATCTAAGCCAACTCTGTACAGTCTCAATTTACCAGAATCAATCAAATAAGCCTGAAATATTTATTCCATTATCATCTACTCCTACTTTACATGCATATATTCCATGACAACATGTCTTTAAATACACAAGCAAATGTAAAGTACCTTCTTATCAACCATATCAACATCCAGTGATATGACATTATCAAAGCCCTTCGCAACCAATTCGTAGTTATCACCGTCTATCGTTAATTTTCTCAGATAATGTTTATTGGCAAACAGAAGCCATGGTTCTGGTTCCTGAATGCATCAAATTAGTATTTAACGAATGAATGAAACCATAATGAAAATCGCTTGCGAATGAAAACTGCAGAATTACTACTCAATAATCCAAGACTAAAATTTGTTAAAACAATTACGCACCATATTAACTCGTTTACAAGTCTTGTCATCATGAGCCATTGCATAGCCATCGACGCACGAACACTTGAATGAACCGATCTTATTCACACATCCTTGACTACATTGTGATGTACCATCTGCAGTTAATTGTGTGAATATCACGATAATAATATAATAATTCGCATAATAATGATATCATTCGTATCATGTTATGAAAGTTATCGTAATCGAACCATACGAAGAAAATTTTCTAATGGGCATTGATTAAAACATTAATTGTAAGTGCTCAATGAATATGTAGAACAATAGCTATATGTTATTTCGCGATAGAAATAACAGAATCAGAACTGACCTTCACATTCATCGATGTCATGACACGATTTCTTATCGTTCTTGTCCAACGCAAATCCCTCGTAGCATTCACATCTGTAGTCAATTGGTAAATCAACGCACTTCTGTTCACACAGTGGCTTTTCAGCTGTTTCACATTCATTTATAACTGAAACAGGAAGATTCTCATTGAAAATTACACACAATCTTAGATTATTTGAAATAGTAACAAGATGACAAGCGTAAATGAAAAAGAAAATTGCAACATAGTGAGAAGGAAAAGAAATTTTGAAAATAATAAATAAATAAAACAAAATTTTAAGTTGACAGATGTAATATCATCAGTCATGATTTGGATTACTGTAAAGATAGCAACAATGGTATCAAATACTCACAGCATTTCGATGATTCATCCGAATGATCAGTGCAATCGTAGACTCGATCGCACACTTTCAGTGAGCTGATGCACTCACCACTTGCACATTCGAACTGCCCTGAGCCACATTTTGTGCTGCCATCCACTTGGGAACTGCTTGATGCAGCACAATCCTTGATTTTATCTCGTTATTATCAACAGTAATTATTCACATATTCTTAATTTCTGATGGAACAAACTATATTATCAGGTGATCAGTTGTCTGCGAAAGTCAGCGGGCGATTAGCCGTGATTAACGCATTATGAAACAGAAATACTGTGAATGCAACTAACCTTTTCGTCACTTCCATCATCGCAGTCGTCATTACCATCGCATTTCCACGAATTCGGAATGCATTTGTGATTTGCACACTGCCAGAACTCTGGCTGACACTGGGAATATGCTGCAAGAGCAATGTTGATAATAATGAGCCTTATGATTAAAATAATAAAGGAAATGATTTAAAATAAGATTTGAATTTTAGTCGTGAAAATGAAAGATTGAGCTTTCATGAATGAAAAGTGATTCAGCATTCATAAAGAAATGGTGCAACACTAACTGCAATTCGCATGTTCATCAGACCCATCCAAACAATCGTTATCGCCATCACATTCCCATGATGCATGAATACAGTGACTGTTTTTACACCTACAATTGCACTGATAAAATATAGCAATAATAAAAGATCAACAATTAAGCTTCACACAGGAAGGCATGGAAATAGACTCTGGAAAGAGACATGCTTTCCACTCGCCTCTCTTCCAATAGAGAAAATTCGAAATATCAGTTTTGATTTTCACTAGAGAACATTCGGTTGTGGGGCTGGCTAGGCTAATGATCAAAGAAGAGATCAAGATGGGTTGAATTCCAAATTTTGTCTTATTGTTAGATGAACGGTCGATCACTTGTTATGTACCTAACAAGCGGTTAGCCTCCGAAATCATATTTTTGTATCGTGTAATCGAGCATGTTCGTATTCTTGCAAAATGGACCGAACGGATTTGAAATCGTACAGCAAAACAGTGGAATAGGATAACCTGAATTCGCCCTTATTACAGTCTTTCTTCTCAACTCCGCATAATTCCTTGGATTCATCCTCACCGTTCGCACATGTAACATCACCGTCGCAGAGCCATGCTTTTGGTATGCATTCATATTTTGGTTGTGATAAGTGTGCGTTTGATTTGCAGTGATACTCATCTGCGGAGCATGTTCGATTACCTGCAATTATGAGCATTCCTTTTACATTATAATAAATATGATGTAAGAATAATTTTGCTATTATAAGAATATCATAAATATATGATATGAGACTAGATAATATCAAAGACTGAGATGATAAATGAAGAAATTTAAAAAACATACCACAATTATGCACGATACTCTCATCACTCGAATCACCACAATCATCCTCTCCATCGCAAATGAACGCACGACTTATACATTTTCCGTTATCACACTGAAATACATCCAGTTGTGATTGATAGCGTTGATAGATTCAATAAATTGATCAACATAATGAGTGAATAATAACTCAACTGAACAAGCCGCTGAAAGAATCAATGACAATGGTTGAAATTATCAACGAAATAACCTGGAACAGATAGTCTCCGACGCAAATTCGTCGTCCACTGGAATCAGTACAATTGGTATGCGTTTCATCCCATGCTCCCTCACCACAATCGTTATCACCGTCACATTGCCATGTTTCCGGGATACATCGACCGCTTGGACATCGTACACTTCAATATTCATCAAATATGTCCATTGATATCACAAAAGTATCAGTAATAATAACTAATAATGAATGAAACTTACTAATGTGTAGCGCATGGTTGATTCATGCAGAAGAGTTTGTTCTCATCCGATTTATCACCGCAATCATCATAACCATCGCACAGATCGGCCGGTTGTATGCAAATGTTCGTATTTTCACACTTGATACGAACACCACGACAGTCTATCGGCAAATCTTTACACGTCTCTCGACTTTCGTCCGATACTTTTTCATCGTGACAATCGTTATGACCATCACAAACCTAAAATATCTATCTGATATGATACCAGGTTCACTAGAATGCGTGTTTCAGCAGGCTATTGCCCAATAGAAAGTGCAAGGATAATGCTAATGAAATTGACATCAGGTAATTATAATTAATTGCCACTCAACAGAATAACTGATTAGGGGTTCCAAGATAATTGGAACCCGAACTTCCCCAAAATACATTCATGAATACAGATTATTTGTTTGACGAGTAGTTCAGAATGTTCCAGGCAATGATCCTGTGAATGCTGACCTTTGTTTGATTGATACAGTGTCCATTTGAACATGCGAATTGACCGAATCCACACGCATTCGATTGTGTCGTTGAACAGTCCAATTCGTCCGAATTATCTCCACAATCGTTTATATTATTACAACGACGATCAGCTTCGATACATCGTCGATTCGTACACAAATAGTATCGTTCTGGACACACACGAGTGTCTTAAATTTTTTATCATTATCATAACTTATCACTGACTCATTGATACCAACTGCCAATAGAATCGAACTCACTGCAATACGTCGGATGTTCATCAGAACCATCCGAGCAATCTGGACGTCCATTGCACGTATCACTCAGTGATATGCATGCACCATCGCCACATTGGAAATTGTACGGTGGTTGACATATCTTAAACAGTTCATTACAAAATAAACCGATACGCTTAGAGGATAGAAAATCATATGAAAATGATAATTGTGATATTATTAGTAAAAATATTAATACTGATATTAATGATGACCAAATTAATTGATAACTTAATTGAATACTAACCTGGAATCCTTTCTCGTTGTCTTTCGGTACACACTGAGTGGCTATATCTTTTCCAGGTAATGCAACGAGTTCAAATGAATCGTTACAAGCACATTGCACCTTGGATGCAGCAATACCAATCGAAGTTGATATCAAATGACATAACTAAAACGAATTTTGAAGTAAGGTGACAATAAATATAATTTGAAACAAGGTCAGGATCATGAAAAATGAATGACAACATTGAGATTCAATTTGTTTTCGAGTAATAACATCATTACCTGCTCACAACCGCCATTGTTAATCTTACAAAGATTCGAAATTTGTGAATTGCAGAATTGTGCTCTTGTTTTGATATCAGATTCAGATGCGAATATCCGCAGTGTAGATGGTAGTCGCCTGTTACCGACAACCACTTCGTAGCTGTCACCGTTGTCCTTATCCATACGATATATACCGTTCGAGAGCGGATCGCTCATGTACAGCCAGTCATCCCAGATCTCTAAACTCTTCGCACGGTAACCAACCCCCACAACTCGACGATTCTTCCCATTGTAATCAGATGATTCGATATTCAATCTGAAATACGTTCATGATTACTTATTTAATTAATCGTTTATGAGTATATAGTCAATTGATCAACGATATCAATCAATTTGATCACTGTGCATCATTCGTGATATTTGCTGTTGTTATCATTATTCTGTATCAGACGTTTATTTTAATTTCATATGAACGGTTGAATGAAGTCGGCTAACCTATTAACATCAGCCCAATAGATACGCTGATCACGAAAATCGACAGATATCGCCGCTGGTAAGCTAACACCCTGACGAACGATCACCTCACGGTCACCACCAGCCATATTGGCACGCTCGATTCGAGGCTCGTAACTACCTTCAATTGTGGGCAATCTTCATTTACAGCACACAACTTTGGCCGTGTTCAGTTACTATTACATAAACTCATTGATTGATTAGTGTTCGGCATCTTGCTTCCATTATACAGTGAAACAACAACAGCACATTTGTAAATATATTAATAATAAAACAAAAATGATGAACTCAAAAACGAGGAGAATATTATTGATAATGATAAGTTTTCATAGTGTTACATTCAAAAAATAGTTGTGAAACACACCAACACACAAACACACTCAAAAGCGTTAATCAGTACCCATTATTTTCAAATTAACACACTTTAAATCGACTTGTACGGTTTTCATTTAAAGAAGCATGGAGCAGTTAGTAACATTTTGTTACGCAAAGCGATTCCAGCATTTTTTGTTCACAAAAATCCTCTCAAATCTTCACTATTGGAGCAAAAAACTCAAAAAGGCAAAAATATCAACAGATATAATCGATTATTTTGTAAGTATGTTTATAAATTCATATTTATATCTTGCCTTCTCGTTCTTCCCCCTCTCTTAGAGGTCCAAACACTGCAATAGCATTTTCTAATCAAACTTACGATTATTACTTTTTACATATTATCATACATACAAATATTTTATATCCATTGTGACTCATAACTACCAGTGGTAATAATAATAGTAATTATAATCATGATATGCAATGAACGTAACAGATATCAAATACAAATGAGAAATACCACATTTACTCGTTCAAGCATTCAGCTAATAGAAAATGTCCCAATTGTTGGAAGGAGACTTAGCTTTGGTACATTTTTTGAGAGAGAGAGGAATCTTTATCAAATGAGGTGATTATTTAAGGGATTATGGCGAGAGAAAACAAACAGCTTAACAGTTGATATACCTCCAGATATTTTATATCCACTGTCCGACCAAAATATAAGTCCGGCACACGGATCTAGAGCCAGTGCGTATGTCCAATCACCATTTGCAATTGTTGCGATGTGCTCGCCTTGTGTATCGATCGCGTAGATTTTACCACTTCTTCAAAAGTTTCATCACTTATTTCAGGGCAATAGACATAGATTATTTGTAATTAACAACTATATTATTTCATTGTATTCATAACGTTTAATGACTGTGCAAAATGAAACTGCGCCCAACAGTAATGATAATTATTGCAGGTGAGTTTGGTATGAAAGATTTCGAACCTTCCAGTAGTGAAGTAAAGTTTCTGAGTTAACCAATCCAACTTCATGTCTGATATATGACGGATTGTTGCTTGCTGTAGTTTTGTTTTGGTTGGACCGAATATCACACTTAAAACGAATTGAGCAAATATAACAATAAAACTAATAACATCGATGTTAAAGGGAATAGCTATTAAAGAATAAAGAATTAAAAAATACAGTAAAATTAGATGAACTTAAAGAGTATTTCGATATGAATGAACAGCCAAGAAGTACCGTTGTTTGCTGGGTTGATTCATCGCAAACCATGAGATATTAACCCCAGCTGGTGATTCAGTGACAAAATAAATACGTCTAAGCTGGATATCGATATCGAACAACTGCAAATTGTCAATCGATGGGAATGATTCTTTCAGTGGATTTGACGCTTTTATGTCCGGCTCGATTGGAGCGTCCACGATACGTTCACCATCGAGGAACATTAGATAGGTTTCGGGCTCTGGAAATCACTCAGAATCATCACTGTTTTGATTTGTTGTTAAAATCATTTGTTGTTGAGTATATTTGTTAAGGATTTGGTTTGCTGTTAAGGACTGTTGTTGAGTATCGTCAAAGATCATTAATTGTCAAGTATTGTTATTAGTATCGTTGTTTTGATTTGTTTCTGCTAAGTTTATTGTTATTATCATTGATTATTGCTGTTTTGCGCGAAGATGAGCAAATCAAACCTTCACAATATCGTCCTTTCAAAACACCCCTGGCACAAGCACAAACCGGACTTTGACTAGCCGGAATGGCGAAACATAGCTGTTGACAAGGCGATTTGCGTAGATTATCGGTGATTTGACATGGTGACTGAGATTTCGGTTGGACTGATTCATCGAATGCAACGATATCGCCTACATCTGGCAGCGATGAGGCTATTATGGATGGTTGTAGCAGTATCGAACTTTGATTAGGACGACTGCAATTACTGATTCATTATTGTCCTTGTTCTATCAGGTGAATTTTATTGAAAAGGTCTTCCGCATAAAATTGATTGAAATGAGTCACTGTTGAAAAAGAACAATTTCAACGAATAACCTTGTGGCCGAGAAGACTTTTTCGAGTCTATTATCGGTCCAATACATGGTTTGTCCGAGTAAAGATATACCAGCTGCGGCAGCAATGTCACTGCGAATCAACTCTGGCTTACTGAAGCCATCCGGCCGAACACGGTATATGCCTTCAACAGTAATTATTACCTATCACTTATTATCTGACATCTTCACTGCATGTTCTTGCCATGCTTATGAAAGAAATTGAAAAGACCAAAACAAACAGAACTATACCATCCAATTTTGCATCAGTCCAGTAAATCATATGACTGTTTGGATCGACGACCAAATCCGTCGGTTCAGCAATGCCATCATGCACAAGTACTTGTCGATTCGAACCATCCAGATAAGCACGCTGACATAATCACTTTTATTTTTGTGCATTATTTATTAACAAGTCATAGCTGGATAAAACCAATGTTATGGACAGATCATTCGATTTCTAGTAAAATTTCTAGTGATTGTTAAGCAGGACACGAACCCACTTAATGCCCCCATTCGCCTAAGAGAATCGTTCTCCTCGAAGTCGAATGGTGTACCGATACCACGTGTTATTACTGGCATTATTATTGTAATAAATTTATGAAAAGCAGTGATGACCAGTATTCTTGAATGTATATTATGATGAAAAGAGAAATTAATTTACCTGAATTGATGGACTTTGTCCTTGATCAGCCCAATAAACGTATCTCGAAACAGGATCCACAACAATTGATGTTGGCGTTTCAGTTTTAGTTGATAGCAAAATCTTGCGATATTTACCATCCAGCTGACACACTTCGATATGCGTTCGATCCGAATCAGCGTTTATGAAGTATAAATTGTCTGAAAGTTGCAAGTAATAACTATTGTATTTCAGCAGCGAGTAATATAAATAACTATAAAGAGCAAACGCAATAACTGCAACAATGAATATCACAATAGATAAGATAATGAATAATCTCGCAGAACTTACAATTAATCCAGTCGACAGAAACCGATCGGATCGTGAACGAGCCGAAATGATCCGAAATGATATTCTTAGCGTTATCACCACCTCCCAACTGAATCCGTTTTATGCCACGATTAATGCCGAATGACTGCGCGACAAAGATCGATTTCGATTCGTATTCGATATCAATCGAGGTGATTGACGTTCCGCCGATTGGTTCCATCGCTATCGCTTTTGAATGCTCTTCATTCAGCCTGAAGGTCATTTCTTATACCCCCTTTCACTGCACATAAACCAAAACCAAATTTTGGAGAAAATTTGACAAATAGCAACCCATCGAGGCATTGAAAATTGCTGAATACCTCTCTGTACCAGTTCAAGTCTCCATTTTTAGCATAAATCTGCTCAGTATAAAATGAAAGCAATCGTGAAGGGTTATTATAAGCTTCTGTAAGGATTTTGTGTCATACATGCAAGCAAATATTTGAATGTTGAATAATAAATGTTTAGATGAGTAATATGACTGTAAAATTTTAGCGGATGAAACTAACGGTATTCCAATGATTTTAGTTCTGGTAGCGATCAGCAGGAACGATTGATCGTACAGTTTACATTTATTAGCACCATCCAAAGCGAAGCCTGTTGCACACAGGCACCTGTGCTGTGAGAATGACTGTGGAATACACAAGTGCTCACAATTGCCATTATTTGTGTGACATGGATGCGAGAAGGGCGCTGGAATTTGTGCATGTTCAGTTCATCGATTGAATCGAAAACCTTAGTTGGGTGTTTAATGGAAATGGTTTAAGTTGAGAATAAATTTGAGTTTTTCGTTTTCAATGGTATAATCTTGTTTCGAAAAATGTCGAAATTAAACTTGTATTCTTTTAAATTATTCGTTCATTTATGAACAGTGAATCAACTAAATTTGAACATAATCTATCAATGATGAAAATAGTGATGGTGGTGTTGAATACATAGATGAAAATCAATAACGAACATTTTTTGGGTGCAATGACTTTAATATTGACGAGTTGCTCGATATCTTTTTTGAATGGTTCAAATACGGGAATCTGTCCGTCATTGTTGATGACTGAATATTCTATCGCATCAAATGCACTATCCGAATAGAACAATTTATTGCTGAAGAATGCCAATCCAAGCGGTTGCTTTCCTGGATCATTCAGCACGTAATGACGATCTTGTCCATCGTAGGTCACTGACGTTATCTGAAAGATTTACACAAATCTATTGCATCTTGCAAAATGTGAACTGCAAAAATTACATTCCCTTAAGTGTAAGTCCGGACACTTTGACTTTTCATAGTATCCCAAAGAAGACTCTAATTCAAGGGAAGAGGACTTCTTTACGTACAGCCTTTCGATAGGGGAATTCTATTGAGCAGGAGAGAAAGGGAGCTTGCAATCAAGAAAGAATACTTACACGACCAGCTTTCGACTCTGAATAGTATACGCGTTGATTTGCTGTATCCAGAGCGATATGGTCTAGCTCACTCAAGTCATTTGATACTATCACCAAAGGGTTTTTGCCGTCCAGGTCAGCATGCGCCACCTGAAAAACACGCAGTGTTATCGATGAATTATTAAAGGTAATGAATCAATTTTGTTCCTGGAAACAAATACAATCATGTAATAATTACTGCATATGTGATAATAGATATGTAATAATAATCACTGCAGTAAAAATGTAACTAGGTAACAGATAAAGGGTGATACCTTAGGTGGTGAGGCTCCAGCTCCTCGGTCCAACCAGAACAGCAGACCTCGATCTGAATCAACAGCGATCGCGACTGGCTGCGCGATGGCAGTTAGTGATTGATCGTTGTTCAGAATTGTTGCGCGATACTAAAATTTCTATCTATTATTTGAATTCATATCTGCAATTAATTCCAGCTCAGAAAATAGGTAATCGGAGCATGATCAACCATTGAAGATGGGCTGCCAAATTTGATGCTACTTTGAGAATTTAGTTACTAAAAAGAAAATTGAGAATGACGTTACAAGTCATTAGTTATCAGTGACTTTTTGAAAATAAGTGATAGTGGTATAATCAGAAGTGTGCAATGGTTTAATTGAATGGTATAATGGCACAATAGTACAATAGAGGTATAATCAAATGAATAATCAGCAGAAAAAGCAAACAATTGAATACGCAATGATAAACGAATGGACAATAGACTGTAAATGAGCAACCTGAGTTCCTTGTGTACGAACAACTTCAATGGTTTGTGATATCTTATTCGCAACGTATAAATTACGTCCATTCCAATCAACAGCGATACAGTACGGATCATCAGGAATTTGCGATGCAGATATCTTCAACTCATTATCATTATTACCACCAAATTGGCAATCAGTATCTCTAATGTTTAATACCAATACTGTGAAGAACAAACTAATCGCGCATCAATACTTTTTACTCGTCTTCAATAGTACCTTAATGATCCTATGTACAATACTTAATGAAAAAATAACAATACGGGATGTAATGGAACCAATAAACCATTGATGACTCGACAAATGAATGAATATCAATGAGCACATACCAGTACTTTTTCAGAGGTATTCAACGATAATTTCATAATATGTGCCTCGAAATTATTATTCGGCCCAATAATGCGTCCCGTTGATGGTAATTCAAGATAATATATCTGCAAATAGGATATATTTTGAATGACTGAAAACAAAAGTACCAATAATAAGAACCTAATAATAATAACTGTAACACTAATAACAATAGCGATAATAATGACAATAATAATAATAACAATAATAATAATGATGATGATGACAACTGTAATAATGATAACAGTGATGATAACAACAACAATAATAATGACAATAATAATAATAATAACAGTAATAATAATAACAACAATAATAATAACCTCAGCAGATTGCGGGTCATAAGTAGCATCAAAGGCATTATTCAAACCGGCCAGTGGTATCATACCAGCCAACTGCGGTGTACCGTTAACAACGTTGTCCACTTGTATACCGAAAATGTTCGTTTTCTGTATCAGCAACAAAAATGGTTTTGAGTCGTTTTCACAAGTTTTACCATCTGCACCCAACAATTTGCCCATTGGACACTTGCATTTGTACTTCTGAAAGGAATCACTTATATTATCAGTGTGACTATAATAAACACATAATTATAACAGCAAAAGAAAGTGATATTGATACACCGCTTGGTTTCGAGCAAACCTTTCCGCGATGCCTGAGCCTGGCTATAATTTGACTTGTACCTAATTATGTAATTACCAAAAAAAGTGTGAAATACAGAAAGACACTGTTATGGCTCACAGTCACGAAGTGATCGATGCACAATGAAAGCAAAGAATATTAAGTGCACTAACCGAATCTTTACTGATCAAACAGAGATGTGAACATGGATCATTGGCACATGGATTGTTGCTGACGTGAGGCTGTAGAACTGGATGAATTGCAAGCACACCGAGTGCTTTCGAGAACGTATGTGACGGATAGTCAATCGAAGTTCCATTCGGATACTTCGGATAGATTTGCAGCTTTTGCAATCGACGATCACTGTAGTAGATTAAATCTTCGAATATGGCCAGAGCATGAGGATGCTGCACCAATTTCGGTGATGACAGCACTTGGGTTCGACCTGAATTCATTGTCATTCACCGTTATCATTCTTGACCTGACATTTTTTGTTTGTATTATCAATGATGCTAGTTGAATTATATGAAATGACATCGAAGCATTACCGGTTCCATCATAATTGACGAAATCAATATAGTCAAGTTTACTGTCAGCAAAATAAACGCGATCCGTTGTGAAATCCAAAGCAATCGTATTTGGCCAGTAAATCTTCGTATCTACCAAAATTTTACGTTCTGAACCATCCATATAGGAACGTTCAACACGAGGTTTCTGAAAACAATGGATTATCGAAATCAGACGGGATTCGATGAATCGCACGCACATCCACTTGCACTACTTCTATCAGTTTTATGCACTAGTGAAATTTTGAATTAAGAGTAAATTCAGTTCTCATTGCTGATGCCACAGAAACTTGTCGCAGTGATACAATGATAATATCGTAAAATACCGTAATCAGCAGGTACTGCCCTTTTTGAGAGAGCAACTTCAACGAAACAATGTAGATACTCGAAACAACAGTAGATAAAAAACTAAATGAATAGATAATATAGAATAAGTATGTAATAACCTGTCCCCAATCAGTCCAAAACAGAAGGCCTTTGCGAGGGTCCACGGCAATACCACGCGGCTGATCAACGTTCTCATGGATCAGCACCGCTCTGAAATCAATTTTTTGCATTCACTCGTTGATTTATGAGTGCAACCGATTTAATGTGAAAATAACAAGAAACGAACCTTGCATCAGGTCTATCAAGTGACGCCACTTCAATAGTATTCAAGCTAGAATCAACCCAATACAAATTTCTTGCAACCCAATCCAAACTGATTCCTTCGGTTATGTCGAGACCATTCGATATAAACGTGGTGACATTTGTACCGTTTCGACTTGCGGAAAATATCTTCTTTTCACGAATGTCCGACCTAAAATCGAATGAATATTCACTGAATGAAGATCAACGCATAATTCAAGTAAGTACAAACAAAAGCATTTTCTATTTTAGTGATAGTGAATTTTAGTTGTGAAAATTTAATGATCAATCGAAATTGCATTAATCAACGACCGAAAACGCACCAATAAATGCGATCTCGGACTGAGTCCCATGCAAGTGCGATGGCATTCTCAACTTGCGCCGCAAACGTTCGCCAGTTCTGCAGATGGCTATCCGACCAATAAATACGATTACGATTCGACACATAAACTCGCATATCCTGAAATTCGATTATTTTACAAAATTGAACTTGCAATGCAAGTTTTTTTCGACGGAAATTGTAGACAACGATAGGGAATACCTAAATGAATGGATGAAAGAAATGGTGATAACCTTAGCATTCTCAGTGACTTTGCACGTTCGTTTGTCAGCGTCAAGTGTGTAACCCTCATCGCACGAGCAAGTGAATCCATGTTTTTCGTCGGTGCATCTTTGACTGCACGATCTTGCGTCTAAGCATTCATTCTCGGGTTCACATCTTGTTTTATTCACCAACTGAAGAAATCTTTGTTGTCGATTAACGCTACAAAACAATTTTAACGATTATAAAATTGCAACTGGTAATACCTGTTCACCGTAAGGACACGAACAAATCGGGCCGTCGGGACTGGTGTGACACTTGTAATTGCAGCCAGCTCTGTTCGCAGCACACAGGTCTCGGTCACATCGACCACCTTCATCTGATCCATTCGGGCAATGATCTTTACCATCGCATAGATTATGAAGTGGGATGCAAATATCCGGTGATTCACGACAAGCAATCTGAAATCATTTCATTTATTTGCTGATTTCGACATTATACTAATTGCTATTATTATCACGTCTTAACAGTATGTAACAGGTTATCAGTTCAGTATCACAAGTATAACAGATTAAGATGTACATGTTCGAATGGACAACGAATCGAGAGTTGCTGATTCCGTTGACATCCTCGTTTCACGTCCTCATCACTGTTATCACCACAATCGTTCTCGCCATCACATAGCCATGTCTGGAAATTTTCACAACTGCGATGAAAATATTCCAAGTCACCATGTATAAAGGCGCCCATAAAATAATCATTACTAATCGCAATATCATGAACTAACATTGAAAATGCATCGGCCATTATCGCATTGAAAATGATCCGATGGACATTTATTCGCACCACAAACACCTGCTGGTTCGTCACTGCCATCTTCACAGTCCTTCAATTTATTCATGAAACGTATATCTGACAGTATAAAGACTCATTCCCCTGATCAGAAATCCGTGTGCCCCGAAAGAGGTGAATACTACAGGCTTGTTCTTGAACTGGGATCTCTTCTATTGCAACAGAAACTCCTTCTTTGAAGGCGCGGAGAATAGAAGCCTCAGACTCTCATTCAAGGGAATCCGTTAAGTGTGCTCAACAGCCAACAGTACATTAATGAACATATGATGAGATAATGACTGATATGTGATAATCACAAGTATGTACTCCATAAATGGCAATCAAATAAAATAATGAATAGTCAAAAATGACAAAGCACTATGAATTTAAAATACCAAACGTACCACGATTGAATCACACTTCCAATTCAACGGTATGCAAAGTCCGTTTGAAACACACGTGAATTCATTATGTTTGCATTTTCCTTCCTGAATCACTATCGTTAGTAAAACTAATTATGACTACAGCACTAATAAACGACAATGACCAGTTAATATAACCATTGAATAAAATAAAACCAATGACTAAAATATCAAACATTAATGAACAAGATCAAAATCAATCGGATTACTTGTAAAATGCAACTGTCTTCGTCGGAACCGTCATCACAATCCGATTGACCATCGCAGTAATTTTTCAGTGAAATGCATTGTCTTGAAGTAACACATCTGAACTGATCGGATCTGCACTGGATCGATGGACATCTCTCTTTATCTTCATCGCTGTTATCATAGCAATCATTATCACCATCGCATAACCAATACACCGGGATACAACGACCGTTACCGCATGTGAACTGCAATTTCAATGATTATTATCAATATTGTCACTGTTACCATGTTTAGTTTCAATTGTTATTACAATTCTTCAATAGCTGTGAATTGGAACATCAATACGCCTCGGATTCAAATCGCACGTTTCGAGCGATTCAATTCGATTGAATAAACTGTATCCCTTCTTTGACAATGCTTTTCTTTGAGAGAGTCTCTGGCATGTACTCTCCTTCAGACAACTACCTTAATACTTTCACAGACATATTATTCTCCCGACAACCCAGGCTTCGTTTATCGCGGACCATAACGCCTGCATCTAGAGCAGTTATTGACACAAACCTGATTCGACGCACAAGTAGTGTTAGCACAAATTTCAAGCTTCTCATCTGAACCATCACCACAGTCATTATCTGAATCACATTTCCATTGTTCCGGTATACATCGATGGTTGTCGCATTGGAATTTCTTCGATGCACACACGGGCGTTTCACCGTTTTTGCAATACTAAAATGTTTATAATCGTGAATTTTTTAGTTGTCCATTTTTAAAATTAACAAGTTCACGATTCTACAATGCAGTGATCATTAATTCATTGTTTTGCACTTGTTCCATACTTGATAATATAATCAATTGTTATATATCATGTCATCATCTATTATTACCATATAAAAAATCACAAATATCAGTGTTATCACTGGCCATCGACGGGAGGCATCTGTTCGGCCGTTATAGAGCCCAACGAAGCAATCGAAGTAAAACTAAATAAGACTGATATGAATGGACGACCTTAACATCCTCATCCGAATAATCACCACAGTCATTATCACCATCGCATGCGTATTGTTCAGGAATACATTTTTTCGTATTGTTACATCTGATCGTACTCGCTGGACATTCCTTCGGTACAAAACACGGCTTTCCGTTGGCTCCTCTCTGAACAATAAGATTAATCAGCAATAATTGATAATATGATGAAAATGTTAAGTAATAATGAAGTAATCACAAACCTCATCACTGCCATCTAAACAATCATCTTCGCCATCGCATTTCCACTCGTTCGGTATGCAACGTCCGTTATTGCACTGATATTGCGATGCATTATTCGAGCATAACGGTTCTATTATCTCATTCATATCACGCACACACGACCGATGATTCTCATGGTTGATTTTGTACCCTTCAATCGATTTATTGATGGCTTAATTGTGGCAACGAAATGACATATGTTTGATCTCTCATGTGTTGCTTCATTTTTTCGTCTGTTTTCTAGACAGCCGAATGGAATCAATCAGAGGAATGTACAATAAAAACAAAAAATAATGTTGAATGTCATTCATGTATTTCAACAATACTGTTCAAGATAAGTGATAGCAGTGATAATGATAATGTAAGACACAAATATTGCAAACTTAGAAAGTGATCACCTGTTCTACAAGCACATTTTTTCATAAGAGGTTGAGCATCAGATGAATGTGACGAATTTGGTAATGCGAAACAAAGTTGTGAGCAATCGCTTTGATGACAAGGATGGTCCAGTGATGGGTCTGGTATCGGCTGATTCGAAATCGAACACGCCTTCAATAACATTTGTTATTATTGTTATCATTATTATCGTTATTCTTATCAAACGATCCAATAAGTGACAAAAAACACCTTGAGTGAGAAAATGCTTCGTTCTTCACCCGAAAATTCGCGTATTACTTTGCCAGGTCCGCCATTTCGCTTGTTTACACGACGGATAGAGTATGGTCTTTGGTGTACAAAATACAGTTGATCTGAATTTCATTTTGAATATGAAGATAAGGTTCATAAAACGAATAAGCTGATATTGACAGTAAAAAAGTGGAGACCTCCTAAGATTGCAATAGCCACAGGGATTGGATGTTCGATCGGAACAATATAAGGATTTGAGCCATCGAAATTCATGCAGGTGATCGTTTTGAGTAATGTATCGCCGTAACATAGCTTTTGCTCTTCGTAATCGATCGCAAAACTTGACGGACGCCCTAATGTCGTATTACGGATTATTCGGCAGTTCGTTGCATCTGCAATTCATTATCTCCTTCATCATTGATCATTGTATTTGATTATCACCACATTATTTGGCATGGGTCGAATAAAATAGAGCTGAAAATAAATGAATGAATAATAAATTAAATTACCGATATAACATTGATAAATCTTCGCAGGTCTTGCTGCCTCAGCAAAGAATAGAAGGCCTTTCCATGGATGGACTGCAACCGCTACTGGATCACGAAGACCATTCAAAAGCAATCGATGTACCAGTTGATCTGGATGGATCAAGCCCTGTAACAGTCAAATTTTTATCAATATTGCTATCGTATCACCTATTACAATCTTCTTCACCAATAATCTCTTCATAAATTTTCATAAAACCCATATCATTAATTGATAATTTCACTGAAAATAACACACCTCTTCGCTAATTCTAACAACCTCCAAGCTGTTCCTGATATTATCAACATAATAAAGTTGTTTCGATAACCAATCATAAGACATCGACACTAAACCATCGTTATGGGTCACCAAAACTGGCGCTAAACCTTCACCATCTGGACGAATTCTGAAAATTATTCCACTTCCTCATTTGTTGATGACATATTGCGATAAAATGTGATCTTAAGCATTTTGATTCCATCGCTTCCAATAGTGGATCCTCACTAATGCTAATAGTCAACTGATTCGATTTTATCAATTTTGAAATTATATTACAGTACACCAACACCGTTCCCATCTCATCAAAGCCATAATCAGATGCATCAGCAAAACAGGTTATCATTATTATCAGTATTCTTATCATTTCTAGTACGTACTGTCCATAAATCATTGAGAGTTACTGCAAATTGATGGATGAGTGGTTCTGTAAGAATAGCGATAAATAACTTCGATAACAAGTGCTAATAATAGACAAACCGATAAACAGTATTATCCATGATATCCACATAAAAGAAGCTATTTGAATGTACGTCACATTCCACCTCGAAGTACATTCCGATTCTTCGTTGTGATTTCGGTGATATTGGTAATATGGCTTCGCTGAGAGAGTTCTCAATCAGTTCTGGGAATATACCCCGCACAACTTTATTGCTACTGAACAACAAATAGTCCGTTGATTCAACACACTGTTTGCCATCTACCAACTTCTGCAATGATCGTAATGAAAATGATAATTGATAACAACACTTGTTTATGATCACAAGTCAGGAAGGTGGAATAAGGAGATTGTACACATCCAAGTTGTATGGATATCTTAGCGGATGATCACCTCCGATCAATCCGGGCGCTGTTATTATGAGTTCTTAATTCGACTATAGTCCGTTGACTCATAATATGAGTGATGCGGAACAATCAATCAAACAAATAACCTGGCCAATAGGGCATGCACATCGATAGCCGAGACCTATACCACCCGAATCTTTACTCAACAAACACATCCCTTCACAGTCTGACTCAACGCACGGATTATCGATCTTCAATCCAATACAATCGCTCTGTTTCGGTCCAGGCTGTGACATCTCGTGATATGCCGAAATACCCATCGGGAATACATTATTCTCTTTTTTAGACCTGAAATTCTTAACTTTTAATTATTTTCGTCAATCAACAATTGTCGCCAATTTTTTTCATTCACAACAAAAATCGAACTACGCAAGCAATAATCTCTTTCTTCTTGTTAGTTTGATCAGTGCTTAAATTAATGCAGGTCAAAATGAACGTAACAAATGAACAGACCAAATAATTTCCGTATCTGAGCCAAATTTCTCGATTTTTATGACGCCAAGTCTTGTCCAATCAGTCCAATATAAATACTGATCGAATATCGTCAATCCGAACGGATGTGGAACCTTTATAAATCATTTTTGTACTGCATACGTGTGCTTCTGCATGATCTTTCGAGTGTTGCACATGAAGCATCAATGATTAAAAAGCATACAAACTGGATGAGGAACATACTCGGTTCATGCCTTGTGCAACGATGCGGCGATCGTTACCATTGTAGTCAATTGACTCCACTCGATCAACTTTTGGATCTACCCAATAGACGCGTTTCGAGGGAATATCCACTAAATAATCGTTTAGTATAAACACTTATCTTTATTTTGATTTAGTTATGACAACTGTGGCGAATAATTAAGGGGTTTATTTGTAATGATAGTAAGTAACTGATAGTGAAAAACGAATGACACTGATGGCTGATAGTAAATGAAAGTGCGCACTGACCAACAAGTCCGCTGACTTGATGAGTATGTGTATCGATAAGTGTTCGACGTCTAGTACCATCCATTGCTGCTGTTTCTAACTTGAATTGATTCGAGAAGAACATTTCTCTGAAATGTAAAAAAATATGAAAAATATAAATTCAGCAATGAATTACCAGCAAAAATCAACGAAAATGATATAATTCAAATAATGAATAACCCTCTGATCGGATCCAAAGCAATGTCGAGTGGTAGTGTGAGGTGATCGGCAAGTAAAACAGTGCGTCTGTTACCGTCATACGTTACCACATCGATACGTCTTGATCCGGACTCAATTATGTACAAATGATTGGTTATCCAATCTACTGCCAAATTCCGTGGATATACCAAACTTTTCAAGTCTAACTTCCTGAATTTCATATTCATTTATTCATCTTTCCCAGATTCCTTTCATTCATTCAAGAAAATGAATTGAAAAAGAACGACATAATAATAAATCATTAAACAACGAATGTGATGTACAATGATGGAAAAAAGGTAACAGTAGCAATGATGAAAAAAGGTAATAACAACAGTAATAATGAATAAAAGGTTTACTTGATATTCTGTATATCGCCTTCTTCATCCAGATCAGCGCTGAACGCAGAGTGTGAAAGGCGATCAGTCCAGAACAATTTCTTATCACCGTAATCATAATCGATACCGTATATGAACTCGCCACTGACAAGTCGTTTTGGTTCTTCGTCTTTATTGTTTGGATTTAATCTGAATTTTTTTTTNTTTTTTTTTGAGCTTGCATTCGCATAGTGGTAGCGGTATTATTCAGTTATAAACAAGCAAAATAATGAACATTTATAATAACCACAGCTATTTATGATAAAAAAGCGATAAAAACAATACATTTTTGAAGATGAATAAGTGAGAGTTACATTGATAAAGAATAATTGTTATCAATGATAATAACGGATAAGAAAAGAGAAATGATGTCTGGAAACGATTGTATTAGGTCAGCTTCGCTTATTATCAGTATAAAAATCGCACGTGCGATACATTGTTTCTTTCTCATTGCTCTTGATTTCGTGAGTAAGGGTGTACCTCAGAAGGTTTGTCTGATGAAGTTAAGATGAAGAAGACTGACTGAGAGATTGTTCGGAGATCATACGTTGAGATAAGTTGCGTGAACTTGACAAAAAAATAAGATGTTACTAATAAAACTATTGAAAACTGACAGATTCACAGTCGTTGAAATGAAATGAATCGAACCTGTAAAGGCCCTCTCTCCTTGCAACGAACAATTTCATATTTTCATGATTTCTCGACAAACAATAACCACGCAACGTCAGATTATCAACACCAGGACCGTGCATCATCTCCAAACTATAGCATTCACTCATACATGAGCATGTGAAACCAGGTCGATGGTTCTGACATCCTTGATCACAATATCCCCATTCCGCACACTCATTTACATCTATATTATTATCATTATTGTTATCAATAGATTACCTCTAAAAAACTGTTTGCATGTTGCTCGATAATCATAACGAGTGATCACAGTTGAAATAATAATGATAATAGCAAAAATGATAGTAATAATAATGATCTTGATGAAGATAATAATAACAGCAATAGTAATAATACTATTTAATAAATGATAAAGTTAAATAAATAACAATAATAATAATAATAACTGACCAGAACAGGTTCTGTGAAATCGATCGTCGAGTTGATATCCAATAGGGCAAGTGCATTCACCACCGGATGGTGACGCATGACAGCCAGCTTGGCATCCCAACGATGGACACAAGTTTGAAGCTTTAATGAAGAGTTTCATCATTTATTTTGAATAACAGTACAAAATAATGTGAATAGTAACAATAATGATAATGAATAAATAATAACCAATATTATCAATTAAAAAAACATACAACAATTCCTCTCATCAGCACCGTCCGCGCAATCTTTTTTACCATCACAAAGTTTCAGTTCGTCGATGCAGTGCCCTGACCCGGGACAATTCCACTGTTGTGGTGGACACAGATATTGACCACATCCTTCTTCGTCTGAGTTATCGCCTGGTAATGAAAACCTTTTGTATTTATGATTATTATAACAATCATAATAAAAATACCAGTAGTAACAGTAATGATAGTTGCAATACTAATGAACAAATACTGAATAAAAGTTATGATCAATCGGAGTAAACGCGATAAGCACAAATGTCCAATATATCAAAAGAAACGAATCAAATATTCACCACAGTCATCGTAATAATCACAGCGGAATTTCCTTGGTTGACATCGTTTATTTTTACATTGGAAATCGCTGCCAGTGCATTGCTTGAATTCTGAAAGCATTTTGACAATAACAATAGAATTAACGAGTGTTGAGGATAATGATACTTGAATATGATCATAATGATAATGATAACGACGATGGTACTATTAACAACAACAGATCATAATCTCAGTAAATAATAAGTAAATGAAACAAACCACAAGTAGGTGGTTCATCAGAGCCATCGGCACAATCATTAGAGCCATCACAAACCCATGATTTTTGAATGCACTGAGAGTGGTCCGCACATCGGAACTGATATTGGAAACATGCCGTGTGATTATGTGGACATGAATCCTTAAATTTTTTTTCATTTATCAATTGTACACAATCATTTTTATGATGTTCATTCTCATATTCATTATAATTATTCATTTATCATCAAATATTTGACATAATTTTAGATTCAAATGTCAACGAAAATAACTCATAGTGATAGAACAAGATCAAAATCACCTTCTCATCGCTCAAATCTCGGCAATCGTAAATTCCATCACACTTCTTCGAAATGTCAAAACATTGGCGACCATCTGCGCATTGGAATACTGAACCATCGTTCACGCTGCACGAAACATTGGTTGCTGCTGAAAGTTTTGATATCCTTATCAAAATGTTGTGATTACGATGGTGTTGTGATAACAATTTGTACCACTGCAATATCACCGTGGTGAAAAAACCATACCATTGTGAACAATAAGTGATAATAATGATAAGAAATGAAACTGAAAAGGACGCACGACAGTCGACTTCATCCGATCCATCCGCACAATCGGTGATATTGTCGCATCGTTGATATTCAGCGATACACGATACCGAATGCCATTCGTATCTATCACACTGCCACTGGTCTGTCTTACAACCGGGATGTGCTGAATGTTTTTTTTTGTTCAATACTGATCATCGTTTCGATGCAATCGCAAACAAAACTCAATAAACCCACAATAACATCATATTCTACCAAACAATTTCCAAAAATCGCATCGTTTCAAAACTTTCATGTTCACCCTCAAATCCAGCTTCTATCATAGACCAAAATGAAGCTAAATGTCCGGATGAGACTGCAGTTTTTTTTGCATGGACTTAGAGCACAAATATAAAGTAACAAACAACAGATCAATACAATGCAACCTAAAAATCCACTGCCCGACGCTAAATCAAGCTAATTCCAGCAATTATCCCAATAAAAATAAGACATTAGCAAATAAGACTCATGCAAGAAAAACATTAAGGGGATAGAAAAAGCTCGCGCGTGCGATTACAAATCGCTTTCGAGAGGAAATTCTCAAGTGCCCTCGAAATTGTGAACGATGTGATTCAATGATTGATTACATCCTCATGGTTTTTTTTTGCAAGAGCTTTTTGCAAGCGCCTTATTTTCAATAGGATGCGATTCAATGATTGATTTTTCAGTAGGGTAATGTAATGTTGAGCGATTTCCAGATTTGTTTGTGTATGGATCTCAAAACTGAATAATGATTAAGGGTGTGCGTATAGAGACGATTTCAAAAATCGGATGCATCTCCATATGACAACTATCGGTATCAAGCGAAAAACCGAAAAAAATATCTGCTAGAAATGATGAATGTAAATTTGTTTGAAAAGATATAAAACTAGAAAAATCACTGAACCTAAACTTGATTGTATAATTATGAGTTATGAAATTTTGCTAGCGGAACAGAATATCCGTCACATGTGGAGATCATGACGATTTGATCTCAAGTTGTCTCATTATTATTCATTAATCTTCATTTGTTGAATGTTAATGACACTTAGACAGATAGCGGATTTCAAAGTAAACATATGAGAAATGAAGTGAAAAAGGAACTGCGAATAGAAGATGACGAATAAATTTTCCACTCAAATAAATTTCAACAAATGTAAATAAATTGATGAGCGATTATTTCAATCCGTCCCCACTTCAGAGCAAATATCAAGTTTGAGAACTTGTTAAATTAGACGATATCAGGGATACTTATCTATTTATTTATTCACTTAATCGGCAATTACAACTCATTTCGAGTTTATACCTTTCTGTTATTACCAGTATCACTAATAGCACATTATTCCTTTCCTGGCATCCTTCAGCTAGTGATAATAGCCCTGAGAAGCATCTTATGGATACAGCAACAAGAAAAATGATGTTAAATTACTAAACCAATGAATAGTAATGACAATGCTCTTTAAAATAATAATGAATACTAATAATAATGGATGTAAAAAATAAAAATTCCCGAAAAAAAACATACGACAGTCCTTTTCGTCCTCGCCATCAGCACAGTCACCGGAACCATCGCATTTCCATTCTCTCCGAATACATTTGCCATCGTTACAACGAAAGTCATTCTCATTACAGTTATTATTGCTATTATATCGGTGATTATTACCATTCACGTGCACTGGTGATGGCGGTAATAAACCCGATCGAAGATTGTGTACACCACCGCGCGACAAGAATGGCGAATCCACTAAAATTTCATTACTTTCAGTGATTTCCACAAAAAATTCCAGTGAATTCTATTGAATTGTTTAAAATCACATTTGTTAATCTGTTTACACATTTATTCGTTCAATGATTTGATCAGTTGTTTACTTACTTCGATCAATTCGTTATTTGTTAACTTTTTCCACTAATCTCATTTGTCTACAATTTATTTATTCAGTTCAACACTTGATTGGTTAGTGGGTTCATAGTGATGGGTGGTGATACCGTCATTGTGATGGAGTGCTTTTAGTCTTAAGCTGAAGCTGAGGCTGGAGTTTATACCGCGGAAACGTTTACTTATTCAATAGATACGTTAACCCCGGCATAACGGAACCATCCGCTTTGTTCAATAGACAGCTCAAGATCGCTATGAGAAAAGCATCTACTTGTCTAGTAGATGCCTCGATTCTGGCACGAGCCTCAGCCTGAGCTTAGGCCTGAATGAAATCCACTGCAATTATGCCCTCTTGTTATCGCCAGTCTTCGTAAGTTTTGATTGTGATGAAGAGAATCATTTGCACAATTCGGATTTTGCTTTATTCAAGTAATCAATTGACTGGATATTCATCCATTCAGTTTGATAATATTTTTCTTTTCGTTACTTTTATACACTCGTTTTTTCTATCCGTTCGTCGATTCACTTCTTTAGCGTCAATTCAACTTCAATTGATGAAAGTAATGTTGCTGATAAAAATGATAATTATAGTGATAATGATCGAATTATTGATACTGATGATGATGGTGCTGTTGAAGAATTCTTTAGTGATTCGCAAAACCGGTTTTGTATGAATGTGTAGATGCATGCCGATTTCAATTGATTTGCTTTCATTTCATTTGATTAGTGCACTTGCACAATGCGCAATATTAAAACATATTGCATCACCATCAAAAAATGAATGTGAATGATTACGAGAATAATTATTATTATTGCCGTGATCATTTTTATTATAATAATGATTATTGCTTAAAAACTAAGTGCGGGGTGGGATCCCGAAAAGTAGTGAAATAATCGATGTGCTTCAATAGCGATACTATGCAAAAGATGCAACTCCACAAATAATAAGAATCATTGAATTTATAAGACGGAAAAAATGAATGAATTTTTGTTATCATCGAAAATGCGCATAACGATGTGATTTTATTCAACCGGTTTGTCTTCCTAGTATCATCCATCGGAACGACGATAACTTGGAAATTTTCGAAAATGATCTCAGCGGAAAAAAATCGCTATTGATGACATTTATTAATTACAAATAGGAACTGAAAGCATGCATAGAATTGGCTCGCAATGGAGCTTCACTCGGGCATTTTCAGTCGCTAGTGATGGATCTAGCTTCGAAACTGAGCCTTATTTTGAAAGGAAATAGCTTGTTTCACAAAGGAATGCCTTCGAAATTTTAGTCTTTTAAGTTCACTTCATCTTTGCCAATTAATGAAATGTTTTGAGCATTCGGTACGATTGAGAACAAAAATTTCCGTAAAATACGACAAAATGGATATACAAAGATACGGCCATCTGGATTCAGAATTCACCTTATTCTCTAATATTTCGTGTCAACAGTCGTAAATAATCTCACAATCAGTTCGAAAATGTTGCATTAATTAATGAAGGCTTTTGTTGGTTCAAAATGTAATTGATGAAAGTAACAACCAAAAAATATTAATGAATCAGCGTTCCAACAAAATTGTACTTATTGTTGTTGTTGTTCAATTTGAAGAGGTAAGTCGCAAATTATTTCATTTTTATCGTTGTTCATTTCGAAACGAACGAAATCAACAACAACCACAATAAAAACGATTCCAGTTTCGTGGAAAATCCGTTCAATTCAATGTCAAAATTGGAAATTCTCTTCATTTTTCATTGCGAACTCAAATTTTCACTTTCATTTGTTGTTTTCCGCTTGGTAATGATGATAACATTACATGAATTGTCATAATAATAATAATAATNATTATTATTATTGTTGTTGTTGCTGTTGGTTCGATCAAAGAACTTGCCTAAATCAGAGAAATAAACTTTTGAGAATAACCTGTTATCAAATATCAACGAGATCAGATCATAACGATGCAGAAATGTTTTCAGTTTACATTTGATTTCTCATTGGAATACTGCGGAACAAACTTTTAATTTTCAGTTAATTCCCTCTTCTCTGATCATCAATCCCAATCAAATTCCCCTATAACTCGTAATAACTGTGAATCTCAACTGCGATGAAATCGCAGTTTACTCAACGCAATATCACGTCTGTTTTCACGTATTCCCAGTTACACTCTCCTCTAAGAGAAATCCATCAAAAGCTTTTCAAAAATAGTACAATAAGAATGTCTGAAGTTTTCAACGCATTTTGTTACGTGTGGATTTTGTTACGATCCGTTACTGTCAGCAGCAAATCGTCATACTGATGATGAAAGATTGTCAGTTGAAACAAACAATGTTGTAAGAGGAGTCGCAAACGATTTCTCGTTTCGTAAAGAAACGACTTCGCATAGAAATCGTCTGGCACAACAACTCGTTGAAGTGGAACCACATTGGTGGTGTACGAATCAAGTTCGAATGAATTAATGAATTCAACAAGAAAATTTGTTTTTGACAGACAAAACTGAAAATTCAATCAATCTATTGAAATGAATATTTTCACTGAGTGGAAGTGAATTGAAGTAATGAACGCCAAAAAAAACGCAATGAAAACCAGATAGAGCGAAGTGGATGTTATGAATTTACATTACAAAAAATTAAATTACGATTGATGTTACGGAACTGAACAACAACAAGAATATTGCTTACTTAAGAAAATTCCAATGGAAATTATTTTGTCAACAATGGAAATCATCAAATGTGATAATAGTCAATGCTCTGATGGAGAGGAACTACTATTACTCTTTAATGATAAAGTAAAACCGAAAATGATAATCATAACAACAAAAATGTTAACGATAATGACATTCATCCTAGAAAAGGAGCGAGAGAGATATCGAATTTTTTGAAAATTTACCCATCACAATGTCATGATTCTCATTATTCACATATGCTTGATTTATAAATAAACTCATGTTATTATCGTTATTGTTAGTATCATTGGTGACATGAGAAATTGGGAAAAATATCAAACTAGCATCACTTAACATTGACTTAGTGATCATCAGTCAAATTACTCTTACAATTAAGACAAATTACATTCCTCATATCCAAAACAACAACAATAATCTAATTCGAATATCGCAAGTTGTATTCATTCATCAGGATTATTCACTCATTTCATTGTAACTATTCAAATTCATGCTTACTTATGTGTGCAAATATCCCTCATTTCTTGAATGGTATAAATGAATATATGCAGAAATCGTTAATGAACAATCAAATTGATGTCAACTCGAAATTTGGTCGTGTTAATGCAAATCGTCATGAATAAGATTGACTGAGCGTTCTTTGTATCCTCTCTCCAATGAACAATTAATTAATCAAACGACAAGCATCACAATGTTGACGTCATCTCTTATGATGTCATCTCTTTTGAAATCACGAATCTATGCAAAATTGTTCATCAGATTATAAGCATGCTGCTGAATTCTTGCTATTACAGCTAATATTTTTATATTATTATCATCTGTGATGTTTTTATTATTATTGACATTATTATGACCATTACTAATGCTAGTATGCAGAGTATCAAATGCATAATTACAATGGGAACAATAAGAATTGTCCCAATCGTACACTCAGTTTTGTTGCTATATTTGCTATCGCTAATGTCATTATTACTATTTACATGAATGAAGTGTTTGCATTCAACACAAATATAATACTTCTTACAATGCAAACTTGTCCTGAAGTCATTACAATCCTAGAATTGAATTCCTTAGTTTCACATTCCTATCGCAGTCATTATAAGTGAGAGGAATTTCTTCAGTTCATCGATTTCATAACCTCATCAGATTTTAAACGGTGCTTTTTGTAATCAACAATGATGATCTTTAATTCTTAAGGCGTATGACTAAACTAACTTTATGAATACAAATACATGTGTTGCTGATATTATTGTTACTTTTAACTTGATTGTTCTTTAGATTTTATTATCACTATTCTTATTATAATGATATGATTATTGTTATTGCTATTATTATTAGTGTCATCATTATTATTGGTATTCTGTTATTATCATTATTACTGTTGTTGCTATCAATATGATCGTTCGTGCACTGCAGTAAATTAATCGTGTAATCATACAACCGAATGGTTCGATAACAGCAGTAAACGCCTTAACTGTCAAATCTCCACAAGTAGATCACTAATTATAAATGTCCTTTGAAATAAGACGCAATCGAACAAAATACAGTCAAGGTCACATGAAAATATCATGAAAACTACTGAATATCACGAAACTACTACTGAATTCATAAAAATATCATGAAGTTATTCAACCGAAACAGAAATAATACTAATAAAATATCAATAATAATAGTAATATTTATTATTTTCTTCATTAATAATATTGTTATTATATTTTCATTATTGTTATTACACAAATAACAGAATGAGTCACATAAAATCTCTCTGAGTCAGTCAAAAAATGGCATTGATTCGCAATAAATCGCTAAAAAAGTATTTCGATGAACGACGATAAAAGAATTAAGAAACTATATTCTTCGTTCACAACAATAAGGTCAAGGCAGTACAGTAACGTCCATCTAAAAATCAGACGATTATGAGACGTTTCAATCGAATGTGACGCAAATTTTTTTGAAATGAGAAAATTCAGCCATTCGGAAAGTTTCATTCCAATAATCGCTCGATTCATGACAAAATGCAGGTTCTTATATCAAAATTTGCGAATTTAGATTCAAAATCAAATGGTCATATTAACACAACTTCAAATTGTCATATTAACATCTGCTCTATCCTGAATTTGATGCTGTGAATGCATGGTAAACCGATTGATCCAATTAATAATGACGATTTGCATTCTAACGCCAATGTTGACAGTTTCAGAACATAAATTCTGAATGATTGGTACTCATATGAAGTGCATCGAATATCACGGTCACGCTTGCTTGTCAAAGTGTTCAACACTGATCACGGTGATCATTAATGATCGCATTTGAATTTGGAACTTACCCTCAAAACATGATTCAAATTTGAAGTGGCCCTGCAACTGAT